ACCTTCGTTTCTACTACGAATTCTCTCTCTTTCTCTCTCTCTCTCTATATATATATACAGATATATATTCGTTTCAATACCCTTATCCAGTTTGTCTGAATTTTTATGGAGATTGACGACACGCCCAAGTCTCATAAAAATCCTCTCAATCGCGAGCGTGATTTTCATTACCTATAATTTTTTACGTATCTATCACAAACTGAAATTTCATAATATCGTGTAACTATCACAATGGAATTTATTGAGATTCGTGAAACACATAAAAAAGAAAAGAAAAATGCGACGAAAGAAAACTTGAGAATTTTTAAGATATAGACGATAAAAAAAAAAAAAAAAAATTTCATTGCTGATGAATTGTAAAAATTTTCCCCTGGTTTATTGAACTGTGAAATAAAATTATAATTAATCATTTGACTTCAAAGTTGTTTTTTTCACGCTGCACTAAAAGAAATTGAATAATCAATTTATCAAAAAAAAAAGAAGAAAAAAAGTGTTTTAACAAATTTCGACGCATAATCAAAAAATATTTCAGTACGCAGTAAGTTTTATTAATTTTAAAAAGGAAATATTTAGAAGACAAAAGATTAATTTTTTCCATAAAAATTGAAAATGAAAATTTTTTTACAAATTTTTCTCTAATTACCAAAAAAAGAAATTCCCAAATGAAAATTAAAAAATAATTTCATTTAGTGAGAGGAAATTTTAATCCTCAAGGGAAGATGATTTACTAAGTATATACTGAAGGAAATTCAATATATAATGAGGATATTCTATACTTCCATTTGGATTTCAAATTATATCAAAGAAGTTACACTCAAATTTCGAACTTTATCAAGCTTTCAAAATATTAAGATCTCTGAAATACTCAAGTTACTCAATTGAAATAGAAGACATAAAAGATTCCAATTATAAATGGAAACTTAAACTAATAAATTATTTAAACTATTTAAAACTAGATTTTATTTCACCTTTCTAATCTAATTCTCTCAAAAAAAAAAAAAAATTCATTTCTAAACTATATTTAATTTTAGTAATTAAATATTTCATACCCTTTCAAAAAATTTAGAACTAATTTCAAATATAACATAAACTCTAGTTATAAAGCACCTTATGACAAAAAAATATTCTAAAATTTAGAATATATTCTACACTTAGAGAAATGAGAATTTGTCTCCGAGTTTACTAACTCTTGTTGCAAAAATATTTTATTTCATTTAAATAAAAAATTTATATGAGCCAAAGAAAAATTTATTTATGACAAATAAAATTTTTATTTACGACAAATATAAATAAGTTACTAGGCTTTAAGACAAACCCACTTGGAAAGATTCCCTGGAAATTGCCACCTGGAAATTCTATCAGAATTCCGCCGGAACTTCCAACGTAATTCCGTCGGAATTACATCGGAATTTCAAAGAATTTCCGATGGGATTCCAACGGAATTTCGACGGAATTAGGAATCTAAAAATTTTGAAAAAAATTATTTGGAATTCCGTCGGAACTCCGTCGGAATCCCATCGGAAATTCTTTGGAACTCCGGTGGAATTCCGATGGAATTACGTTGGAAGTTCCGGCGGAATTCTGATAGAACCTCCAGAGGGCACTTTCCGGGGAATCTTTCCAAGAGAAAACTTTCGCTGTTTTAGTGAAACATATCGCTGTACCAGTGAAACTTATCGCTATTTCAGGTAAAGATTTTTATTCTCAAAGAATATTTTTATTCGTGTATTTCCAAGAAAAATAGTTCGAAAAAAAATATTATTTTATTAAATTGAAAATATATAAAATTAAAATATATTTAATTTTTCTTTTTGCATATATATTGAAATTCTCGCGTATATATAAAATGTAAATATCTAATTTTTAAATATTCATTTTTTTTTTCTTTCATCTTTCTCTTTATTACTTTCTGTCTGTCCCATCGTTTGACCGCATCTCTCTATCTCTATCTCTCTTTCTCTTTCATCCCTCGTGTAAATTCTTAGTCGTCACACGAAGTCAATAGCATTGAATCGAAATCGAATAATCTGAAACGCGTCTGTATAGGATTGAACTGGAAATACTAGTTTGCATTATACCCGCGTGATTAATTAACTTCATTCCATTCGCTTCTGAGCCAATAAGACCTATAGAAACACTGCTAATGTAATCAACATTATCCAGTTAGCTTTAATTACACTGAAAATATTATATATTCAGTTTGTGAATATTTCTCATTATTGAAATAATTATATATCATATTTCTTCATTATAATTATTCAAATTTTTCCAACTACTTTACAACTATATTTTATTTTATTTAAATAACAAAATTTATTAAAGCCAAAGAAAAATTTATTTATAACGAATTAAAATTTTTTATTTATTTTTAATTTTACTCGTAACAAATATTAAATATTATTTGAATAAATTAAATGGTATTTTTTTCAAATACAGAAATTATTATTTGATAATAGTTAAGTAGAATATTTGAATTTTTTTTTTTCATATTTCAAAAAATCCTGATTTTTGTTGTGATAAAATTTTCCCTCCACCGTTCCCATTATATATAAGATTCAACCTTTTCGTAGACATAAAAAACACGTGTCTCGCTAGTTTTTTCTTTTTTTTTATGTACTACAACATATTGTGAAGGCGAAAAAAAAATCGTAAGAGAAACGCCTATATACCTATACACACCGTTTCTTGTTAAGTATACTCTTGAGTATCCATTTTTCTCCGAGAAGTAATAGTAACAGAAGCGAGAAAGAAAAAAGCAAGAGGGAGAGAGAAAAAAAAAAGAGAGAGAGAGAGAGAGAGAAAAAAAAGAAAGACAAAAAAAAAGAAATGACAGGGAAAAAAAAAGAAAACCTACATTCGTAACAACTGTTACAAAAACTAACAGTAGTAACAGTATAGCTATAGTCAGCCACGACCGCAGACGCGCCACAGAATAATTCAAGTAGGTGCAGTAAAGCTGCTCCAGACTCTGACAAAGCCTAACGAAGCCTCTGCAGTAGGCACTAGTGACGAGGCCCAACTTCACTCTCTCTCTCTCTCTCTACTTTACTCACTGAGTTAGACTGAATTTCATACATCCACGGAATTTCAAGCTAAGTGCCCTGTTGTTGCTCATACGAGAAAGAGAGTTTCTTTTTTTTTCCCCTTTATTTTTTCAAACCACTTTCCCCCATTTCTTTTTTCCGCCTAGTTTCTTTTAAAAGAATCATCGCTAAATTAGATTAAATCTCAACGAGCATTTTTCACGTATATATAAAAATAAATAATCTTTATATTCATTCGTTAAATATTTCTATTCAAAAATTATTGAATCAATATTAACGAATGGTAATTTAATTATTCTCAATCAACTTGACAAAATCTTTAAAATTAAAAAAGAAAAAAAAATAATAATTCTCTTCACTAAGAAATGTATAATAGATGGAGGGCAATTAAAATGATTTAAGAGAGTAATACAGATAATAATTTATATCCCGTCAGTGTTAAGACTTGTATAAAGTTCCTTTCTTTCAAGAATTTTTCTTTTCTATTTTTTTTTTTTACCCCTTTTTTTGCTTCTCTAGCAATGAAGTCGACCTGTGACCGGAATCGCAATATTTCGAGATGCTTTCCACAAGGTTGCCTTTGAAAACCTTCTTCCTAACTCTCGCGCTAGAATCATTTTATTCGTACTCGAAGAACCATGCAGTTCCACATGAAAGGAAGACAATTCAATATATTTTTCGGCAAATCGCGTATTTTTTTTTTTTTTTTACAAATATTACCGAATTTTGATAGATTAAAACTGAGCGCAAAAAAAAATATTATCACACAAAAATAAAATTCTAATTTTAGTTCACTATTGAAAAATTCAAATAAATATTCTATATATATATATATATTATATGAAAGTATAATAATAAAATATTCCAAAAAATTTGAAATTTGAATGATGATAATGTGTTTCAAAAATTATTACAAATATTTCTCTTTACTTTTCGTTTTTATAGAAGGGAGAAAAATTTCCAGACCGAATAATCGCCTTAAGAGTTTTACAAGTTCGAAAAGTCAATACTTGTCTTTCTTTCGGATGAAAGCAACTTGACCATCTGTGAAAACAATTTCGTGTATCAAGAAGAGACCTCCACCAGAGGACAATCATATTTTGTCAGACGTTTGAAATTTCACAAGAAACTATCAACCATAGGTGTTCAAAAAAAAAAAAAATTTCCCCTCTTTTTACAACTTTTTTTTCAAAAAAATAGTTACGAAAATACGATTTACTTGGTTTTTTTTAAAAAAATAAATAATTCAAATTATTGAAAGCAATTGAAAGAATCAGTGTGGAATCCATATATATATCACAGATAAACTAATTTATTCGCAAAATAATTAATTTCTGTTAAGTCTATAAACTAGTACAGCTAATACTATAGACGAATGTAAATAGAAGCTTAATTAATCTAGTGAAACATCAAGTCTTGGAGTACAAAGATGACAGAACCATAGAAACTAATTCTACTTCGGAAATGAGAATAGACTTCTATCCGAAGAACAATTTATAATGACATATATCCTCAAAGATCAACTCTCGTTTCATGTATAAAAGTATATAATTAAAAAAAATTAATAAAAAAAAATATGTATATATTTTTTAGAAATAAAAACATACACAGAAAATTAAAAGGCATTAAAATAATGAGCGTTGCAGCTTATTTTAATACCTTATAATTTTCTGTGTATTTTCTAAGTCGATAATAATTTATAAAATATGTTTTTATTTCCAAAATTATTTTTTTTAATCAGATAAAAAACAAAGTTGTTCCCTACTTTTTCGAATGTAACTTGAAAAATAATAGAAACAAATCCAAGGGATATCTTTCATAACTTTATACGAAAAATAATAAATCATAAAAGAAAACATTATTTCAATTGCTGGCAAATATCATAAGTTCAACAAATAAATAAAAACAGAGAAATAAATAATAAAATATAAATTAATTTATTAAAAAGGAACTTACCATTTGTTGTCTAGAAGTAGTACCCCCAAGGTGATTGGAAAATTCACACGATTTTAAAAACACGCACTGATTCTAAACTTTTTAAAAAATTTTCTCTTTTAAAATTCACCAAAAATTGTCACTTTTTGTTAATAAATGAAATTCAAATAACTGATGTTTGTAATTTTAATTGTCACTATTCACATTATTTCCTTAAATGGCGCTGAAAATAAAAATAAGTTTAAATTAAAAAAAAAAACATTGGCAACTGCGTTTTATTTTTATTTAATAAATATTGTATTACTATAAAATATTGAATTACATTAATGTGGAAAATTACTCATCAAAAAAGAAAATGCTACAACTAAATTAGTATAATAAAATTTTTCCAAAAAAATAAAATATTTACCTAAATAACGAATTTTCAGCTTCAAAAAAAATTCTCCCAAACAAAATAGCCCTCGGAGATCCCTACTTTCAAATTAAATTTCCATTAAAAAAAATGTGAAAAATAATCGTAAAAATAGACCGAGTTCTAAAAAGTATGGAGAATTATTCAAGATAAGATACTTTCGCCCTTATCATTGAAGTGACACCACAAGCCATCAAGGATAGATCTGCAAAAAAATAATTAATTCTCAATTAATTAAAATTAATTTTATAAAATTTTTATTTAGTATTATTTACTGTACTCAAATATAAAATTTGAATAAACTAACAATAATTTGCAAACAATTACATTTATAATTTTTTTTTGAAACGAAATGCTACTAATTTTTTTTCCTGTTATGAACGCAGCCTAACGACACGAAAACAAAACAAAGTGACTTGCTTCGGCAACCATGTTTATTTTCACTATATATATATATAATGAATACTGTCAGCGCTGTACTAACATCTTGAACCGGTCGGTAATATAGAAAACTATAAAAAATTTCATTTCCAAATTTAAAAAAAATAAGTGTGGCAACGAGATTAAACCAAAGGTAATCGATCAACACAAAAATCTTGAAATAGTTTTCGAAAACTCGACGTCAATATGAACGACAATTTTTCTAACTGACTCCCTATAGAGTAATTTAAAAAATAATCAGTTTCATGACTATTATCAAATAAATATTTACTTGAGCCAAATAATTTTTATTTAAATTAAATAAATTGTACTTGAACGAAATAATTTTTATTTAAATTAAATAAATTGTACTTGAACCAATAATTTTTTGTATTTGAAATAAATACCATTTCATTGACTCAAATAATAATTATTTGATACAAATAAATATTTATTCGATAATAATAAAATAACCAATTATTTGAATCAAATAAATTTTTTTCCATAAAAAAAAATTTCTTTTTTTGCATAAATTTAGAATAAACTGACAATAATTTCCAAACAATTAAATTTAAAAATATACAATACAAAATGCCACATTATTGACAATTGTTGAAATTTTACACAGGAATAATATCAAAACCTAACCTCAATTATTGATTTACTCTGTTCAAGAATTGTCGTGGACCAGTTAATTATAACAATTCTTGAACAGAATACATCTATGATTGAGGTTATGTTTTGATACTATTCCGGTGCAAAATTTCAGCAATTGGCAATATTGTGACTATACTATGTACACAGGCCTACACTACACGATCGCGGATCGTTCGAATAACGATACGAAAACAAATAAACAAAGTGACAGCTCCGACAGCCATGTTTATTTTGACTATTATACATACATATATATATATATATATATATAGGTATAGTGGATACTGTTAGCAGTGGCGCTGTATACTAACATGTTAAATCTATAACTGGTCGGTAACATAGAAAACTATAAAAAAATTTCATTTACAAATTTGACAAAAATAAGTTTGACATTGAGATTAGATCGAAAGTAATCAAATAACACAAAAAGCTTGAAAATATGACTTATAATTTTCGAGAAATCGACGGCGATATGAACGCCAATTTTTCTGACTGGCTCCCTAGACCACGGAGTAAGACGTTGTCACGTCAAAACAGTAATTATTTAAATATAAAGTTCATGAAAAACTAAACTATTAACAAATTAATGGTTCTTATTTAAAAAAAAAAAAAAAAAAATAAAAAAGGAAAACAAAATTTTTTAATTGCATTACATAACTTGTTACTTAAGTAACAACATTGCATTTTCAGCAACGATTTGAATTATCTACACTGAAAAAAAAATTTATTTGATTCAAATACCGGTGTATTTGGTTATTATCAAATAAATATTTACTTGAATCAAATATTTCTTATTTGAATCAAATATATAGTATTTGAATCAAATATTTCAGTATTTGAAGCAAATACCATTTATTTGATTCAAATAAGAAATATTTGATTCAAGTAAATATTTATTTGATAATAACCAAATACACCGGTATTTGAATCAAATAAATTTTTTTTTCAGTGTACTAAAGTTCAACGAATTTCCAACCAAATAACAGAACTTTCAACAAAAGAGGTATATAACTCAAGTTGAAACGCGCGCTGGAGAACAGTAATCTAGTTTTCGAAACTTCACTTGTCAGAACAATGTGAAAAGAATTCTAGAGATTAGGTCTAATAATCCAAAAGTGACTCAAATTGACATAGAAGGGACTGATAAGTCGTTGATTAACTACCACGAGACAATAAAGAACACCACCTAATATAAATACACTTTAGAAAAAAAAAAGAAACATTTCATCTACCGAATTTTTGTCAAAAATTTTTATTTTAGTCATTTTATTTAAAAGAATATTAGTTAGAATTCTTATTCAATCGAATGATTCAAATTTTAAAATGACAGAAATTTCAATTCACCAAAATTATTTAATTTTTAATTTAAAACCATAGAAATTCAAAAAAAAAACAAAATTACTGTGGGGAATATTTCTGCATTCTTTTTTAAATTAAACTTCTTTAGCAAAAAAGTTTTTAACACTCGAAGTATTAAAAAACAAAATAACGACATTTTTTTTCTAAAAAAAAAGCAAAAATAATAATAAAAAAAAAAGTCGGTCAAGACGAATAGTGAAATAAATTTAGATTGCAGTGGCAAACCAAGAAACTCTTAAAGAATATGGGTCTTCCCATTAAAACTACTAAAATGGCGCGCGGTTCATTGGATGAAAGTGGTTCATCAGGAGTTGAAAAGTTTACAACTTCTACAAACTTCATGTCTCATTGTTAGACCTCTTCCCCGTTAAAACGCTCATGAGTATAAGGAATCTACAATTCTCAAGTTTACCTAAAGAGACATCGTGAATCACGCATAAAACTTGATATTTTATGATAAAGTAAAATATATTTTTCACGACAATTTACGTTATATATAGCTATATTTTAATTTGACACTTGCTTTTTGAAAAAGCAATCAGTTTTGACAGTTAAAACAAAAGCTTAATTTTTTTTTTTTAAATACCCATTTTTAAAGGCGTCTATTCAAACTTATAGTATATTTTTTCTTACGATTTTCATAGACTCAATATAAATATTTTTTTTTTACGATTTGTTATAACTGAAAAACACTCACCGAAATTATGATCCATTATAAGGAATACATCAGTTTTCAAAAGAGAATTTCCATCTTTATAATTCATCTAAATCTGAAACAAATAAAAAAGTATATTTTTGAAACTTATTTGATTAAAAACAAATTATAATTGTAAAGTTATTTTAGAAATCTATTTCGCTAAAAATTTTTTCGTTTTAAACGATCATAATAGTTTAAAGCAGATATAGTGGAATATTAAGTGTAATGGCAAAAATATACATTTCAAGACATGAACACATTCTTTTTTTAGCAAATAAATAATGGGAATAATGTCACGTGCTACTACTCAAACTTTAACGTTCTATATTCACAACGGTATGTCACTTTCTCGTTATAAGTTATGACATTTTGTACTCTATATATATATATATATATATATATATTTGAACGCAGTTACACGTGTCGAGTGCCTATCAACTATCGGAAAAATTTCAAACGACTGTCCATAGGAACGTGACCAGCCATGAAATAAAAGCACTTGCCCATAGTTTCGTTCTACTAAACTTTTCACATAACTCTTCATTTAAAGTTATAAAAACAAACAAATAAAATCACTATATTATGCTTTTTCATATAATTTTAAATACATAAAATAGGCATTCTTTTTCTATAAATAAAACACAATTCTCTTTTAAATACTCTTCTATATTTAAACATAATTCAAATTATTCAACATCGTTTAATAATTTTCGTATAATTGATTCAAATAATGTCGATATATTTTTTAAAATTATTAATATTAAACGTTTAGAATTTAATTTCCTTCATTACCGACTGATCGTAAAGAAGATTCCTACATTACCAACTGTCGGTATAAACCGGTTAAATGTTAATTTTACTACCGACTGATCGTAAAAGAAGATTCCTATATTTCCAGCGATTGGTAAAAGGTCTAAATGTTAATTTCCTTCATTACCGGCTGATCGTAAAGGAGATTCCTACATTACCAACAGTCGGTAAAACCTAGTGTTCCTACATTACCAACGGTCGATATAAACTAGATAACGTTAATTTTATTACCGACTTATGGAAAAAGAAGATTCGTATATTTCTAGCGATTGGTAAAAGGTCTGAATGTTAATTTCCTTTATTACCGACTGATCGTAAAGGAGATTCCTACATTACCAACGGTCGAGATAAACCAGATAACGTTAATTTTATTACCGACTGATCGTAAAAGAAGATTTCTATATTTCCAGCGATTGGTAAAAGGTCTGAATGTTAATTTCCTTCATTACCGGCTGATCGTAAAGGAGATTCCTACATTACCAACGGTCGGTATAAACCGATTAAATGTTAATTTTACTACCGACTGATCGTAAAAGAAGATTCCTATGTTTCCAGCGAATGGTAAAAGGTCTAAATGTTAATTTCCTTCATTACCGGCTGATCGTAAAGGAGATTCCTACATTACCAACAGTCGGTAAAACCTAGTGTTTGATGATAAAATTGAATCCTATATTAATGTATTTAACTGTTTAACTACACAAAGTAAATTTAAGTAAATTACCTATGTAATATATTTGATTTAAAAAAAAAAATTTTCCTTAATGTATAGAAATTTAAAAAAAATTGTGAAATAAAAATTAAAATATAATATGCAATTACAGTGGAATCTTTAAATAAGAGGGATATAAAGTTTTATAGAGCGTAAAGACGATAGGGCAACGTTGAGAGTTTCAACAATATTTCAACATTAAAATCTAACTGTCCTGCATGCTAAAATCGGAGGCCCCTTCGAAAGCTACACATACATATATATGGTTTGGACCCTTGTGTTATATGTCCACATATATATATAGTGATAACACTATGTATGTACATCACCACGAATAACTCTATACCAAGTTTAATATTGCCTTATACGTATTCATATCGTGGCACAGGCGCGCCCTTTCTACCGCGAATCAAGTTACGGTACACCGCAATGAGACAAAATTGATACACGTGGGCATTTTCCATTTCTTTTTCACATCGAAAATATTCCTCTGACATTTTATGCAATCCTTTTCCTTTTTTTCTAAATTGCTACATCGATATTATTAAAGAAAAAAGTATATCTTTTTCTTCGTTTCGACCTTTTTTAAAAAAAAAAAAAAAAAGAAAAAGCAATTTAATTTATTCAATAAAACGCTATATTTGGATAAATAAAATAAAAAACAATCGTCAATTTGAAAAAATAAAAGAAATGAACTATATACAAGAAGACAGTGGTCGTAAAAGAAGATGAAAGTAAAAGAACTCTAATCCACTACCATTTTTCCCACCTGCTTTCATTTTCCCATTTATTAGGGTAACAAAAAAAAGACACTTGATTAAAATAAAAAACAAATAAAAGAATAATAATAATAATAATAATCTTTTAACATAAATATCAAATATAACAATTCACAGAAATAATTTAATTAAAATTAACTACAGATATAAATTTTAATTAATAATTCCTTCATTTTCTAAAAACAGAATTAAATCAATCGAAATTTTTGAACATATAAGCTAAAAGATAAAATAATATCGCAGCTAAATATAGAAATAGATTTGTTGGTAATTCCTCATTTAGAGAGATAAAAGCGATATAACTCATCTTATATCAAAAACGTGACATGATTCAGCATTCTAATAAAATCCAACAGAAAGCACCACTTCAGTCTTAATTAACTTTATTGTTTTCTGATCAACAGGTTATATTCAAGCGCAATAAGCAACGAAGAAAAACAGAAGAAAAAAAGAAAGAAGTTGAAGAATGTTTTCTTTAGAAAAGTATTAGATATAGAAACTCCTTTAATGAGAGAATTTCACAAGAAAAATCTCAGTTTCCCTGTTAATAAACTATATACAATACGACTTCTTTTCTACAAGGGAATATGAGAAAAGGAGTATATATATATATAGAGAATTACTCTCCAACAAGAGAAGACAAATCCGTGATATCTTATATATATCTTGTAAAAAGAAGAAGAAAAAAGAAGAGAAGAAGGATAAAATAAAGGAAGGAAATTTCGTTGCGGTTTAGTCAGGCGTGAATCAGTTTGTGGCGCACATGTTGGCACTGAAGATAAAACAAGCACTGTCTTCCGAGGAACAAGGGAAAGCATGGTTTGCTAGGAGTAGGCACTCAGGGAAAAACAAGCTGCTGTCACGAAAAGGGGATTAAGAGGACTGCATAGCACTCCCTCCACCTTTCTATAAACGAGACCACTGGCTCTCAAGCGGTTAGAAACAACAACCACAACAGCTAACTTCCTGGATACTCTGAATTTCAGTTTCCAGTACTATTTCGACCTACGATCTCTTTCAAGAAAAACGACTCTTTATTTAAACTCTAGGTTCTTATTTACCTTCATTTTCATTGTATATATTTTAAACTTACTCTCTAAATCTGAATTAGTAGTTTTCTACTAATGAAAGAGTGCCAATTCGTTTACCAATTGAATTAGTAACAGTTATGACTCTTTTTTTTTTAGTAGAAAACTACCCATTTGGAAAGATTCCCCGGAAAGTGCCCCCTGGAAGTTCTATCAGAATTCCAACTGAACTTCCAACGTGATTCCGTCGGAATTCCATCGGAGTTCCAAAGAATTTCCTATGGAATTCCGATTAATTTTTTTCAAAATTTTTAGAGTCCTAATTCCGTCGAAACTTCGTCGGAATCCCATAGGAAATTCTTTGGAACTCCGATGGAATTCCGACGTAATTACGTTGGAAGTTCCGGCGGAATTCTGATAGAACCTCCAGGGGGCACTTTTCGGGGAATCTTTCCAAGTGGGTACTAATTGCTAGTAGAAAAAACTACTAATTCATGGAGTAAATCGTATTTTTTACTATTTTAGATTAGTAAGCCAATTTACTCGATGAATTAGTACACTGAAAAAAAAAATTTATTTGCTTTAAATAATCGATTACTTGACTATTATCAAATAAATATTTATTTGTATCAAATAATTGTTATTTAAGTCAATTAAATGGTATTTGTTACAAATACAAAAATTATTGTTTCAAATAAAATTTATTTAATTCAAATAAAAATTATTTTGTTCAAGTAAATATTTATTTAATAATACTCAAGTAATCGAGTATTTGAATCAAATAAATTTTTTCTTCAGTGTAGTTTTCTACTAAAAAAAGAGTCAAAATTTGTACTAATTCAATTGGTAAACGAATCCGCACTCTTTCATTAGTAGAAAACAACTAATTCAGATTTAGAGAGTATATTTAAAAAACAAATTTTCTTTTTATTTCCAAAACATTACAGGCCTTGGATCGATTTTAAAGCGCAAAAAATTCGAAAAAATCTATTTTTTTATTTTAACTAAATTTAATTAATATAAATATAATAATAATAATAATAATAATAATAATAATAATAATAATATAATAAGAATAATTCTCAATATAGTCAAAATTAAAAAAAAAATTATTAACCTTCCATTTTAAAAATTTTTTGAAATCTGATTTAATCAATTTATTCAAATTAAAAATTTTGGCATACTTTTTTAGTTTTAATAGTCAAAAATAATTCCGGACAATAATTAATTTCACAAATTATTAAATTAATTTTTTTTAAATAATTATATTGGAAAAGATTAAAATTTGAAATAAATTTTCTACAAATTCAAACTAATGTAAATTTAAAAAAAAAATTTTTTTTTTAACTGTTTTAAATAATTGAATTTTTAAAGAATTATTAAAGCTATTAAAAAATAATAATTTTTTTATAAAAAATTATAAACAATAATTAAATTTTACAGAAATGAAAATAATTTATTAAAAAAAAATTAAATAACATTATTTTATTGAAATTAATTGAATTTCCAACGATTAAAAATTTAGATTTTTGAAAATAATTGAAATTTTTTATGATTTTTGTTGCTGAAGAATTTATTAGAAATTATATACAGAAAAAATTGAATTTCAAAAGTTTTTACTTGAAAAAATCTTTCAAATAATTGAATTTTTGAAAAATATTTTTAAAAAATAATTAAAAATAATTGAATTTCGAAAGAGTTTACAGTTGAAATTTTTAGAAATAATTGAATTTTAAAAAATTTTGTTAAATTTCATTCAATTAAATTTTTTCAAAATTGAAAAGAATTTTTTAAATAATTTTTGATATTTTTTTTAAATAATTGAATTTTTAAAAATTTACAATTCATTTTTTTGCAAATAATTCAACTTCATGTAATATACTTTAAGAAGTAAATAAATTTTTTTCTGCTTTTAATAAAAAAATTTTATATAATAGAAATATTTTATCATTCACTTTTGAATGCACCTGCATTTTCATTTTAAATTTTCTATAAATGCGTTGGAACCAACATTTTAAAAAAATATTATTTTTATCAATTTTATGAACTGAATTTTAAAAATACTCTACAATATTTTGAAAGTAAAAATTTTTTTTTAAAGAAATTTTCAATATTAATCAAATCAGAACATTCAAAAGTACATAGCTTTTATATACTAAAAACCTTTTTAAAAAATATAATTTTTTAATTTACCAAAAATTACATTATGTACCTAAATATTCCTAAAATAATATTTTTAAAAAATTTTTGATCACTAACTAAAAACTTTTTCCACTATGATAAAAAAAAGTAATTATTTTACAAAAAAAAAAGAGAAAAAATTATACTCGGGGTATATAACACAAAAAACACTTCAAACAGAAATAAAATAAAATTACTTTTTTCCTGTGGTTACTATATATTCTTGTATAAAAATGAACACATTGTGTCTGCTTTTTTCTCATATAGCTAAATATCCAACTTTTGGTAATTAACAACGTAATAAAATATTTAAAAAAACGAAAAAATAATAAGGCTAATTAAAATTTTTACATACTTTTCATTGGCAAAACATTTACTCCTTTATTTTGTTGGCAACTGTGACATTATTTTGCAATATTCCTGAAACAAAAAAAAAAATATATAATTACTTAGAATGAGAAAAATATTAAACAAAATAAAAAAAGAAAAACAAATACATAAAAATAAAGAAATTAATAATATTATAGTAAGAATTGTAATAAAAATAAATTACAAAAAATAAATCATTTGGAAAATAAAAAAATATTCCAAAAAAATTATAACTGATCTAATTTTTGTTTACGTTTTATTTTCAAATGAAAACAATTTTATTGGGAAAATTTCCATTTATTTAAAAAGTGAAAAAGTTTAATTTTTGAAATAAATAAATAAAATTTAAGACTTTTTAATTAAAGATGAGAAATCGAGAAACAGATTTAATTAAATAAATGAATGAAGCAAAGCGTTTAGTGTGTGAAACCAGTGTCTGACGAAAGGGCCATTATTTTACGTGTGAGACCAAACTTTTAGTTGGTGCTCCAGTTGAATTGAAGGGGACTGATGCGTAATTAACTAACATTGCCCTCAACCAAACTATACCTCCCGACCCTCAATAAGTTAAATTGGAACAGGCTCAAGCGAGACCTGACCTATTGCTCTCTCCAAACATGAAATGTCATGTTCCTCTCAACCATGAATATTGGTCAGTCCTCATCTCTATATATGAACTATATAGATATATGAAATATTTGATTCCAACATTACAAAACATAAAAGAAATATTTATTTCAATCACATCCAGTAATTTTTTACAAGTAAAAAAAATAGACATCCAGACCAAAAATTTATTTTTATTCCAAAGGGACACAAATAATTAATTCAAAAAAAAAAAAATTGTCAGAAAATTTTCCTATTCAGTATTTTTTTAAAAATAAGACTTTCATCTTAGCAAATATTAAAATTTAAATGATGAAAAACAAAAATTCATCAAACTTTCCATTCGATTTGGAATTTTTTCCCTTATTTTTATTCTTTCACATCTGTCATCCGCGCGTACAGACTAAAAAAAAACACAATGGTATTGCATTTTCTGACGTCGCGAACTCGTAATCTCGAATTCCAAGACCATATCGACCCGCGGATCGCGCGCATCGTTGAATCCTTAAAGTGATTTTCTATCATAAGTAACAATTTTTCAAGCACAAGAAATATTTCTAATTTTTTTTTTTCTATTTCTAATTTTCCGAATGCATAAACCAATATTTTCAAAAAATCGAAACAAAATTTTATTCCAAAAGAAAGAATTAATAATTTAAAAATTATTATTAAAAAAAAAAAAAAAGACAAAAATAACAAGTCCATTTGTCTTTTTCGTATAATTTGTTCATTTTAATAAAAACAATTATTCTTAAAATCCATTATACAAAATAACATTTTACAAATATTTTACATTTTTTTTTTTCTTCATCAAACATAACACATTGTCAAACTTGAACCAATCAATATTTCATATAATTAAACTTGCGTTTCATAAACATTTGTTTTATCATTTAACTTTTTATGATTTGATTTTAAGTGTATTTTTTGATGTCTAACAAGTTTTGATTTAGAAATAAAGGCTTTGGCACAAATTTCACAGATAAATGGTTTCTCTCCAGTGTGTATTCGAAGATGTACTTTCAAATGTCCCGATTCAAAATATGATTTCGAACAAATTTGACATTTAAATTTTTTATCACCACGATGATATTTACCATGCCTTGTGAGTTCGGGTTTTGAAAAAAATGATTGTTTACACAATGGACAGGGAAAATCTCTTCTTCCCAAATGTATTTGTATATGACGATTTAATTCTGAATTGGAAAAATAATTTTTCCCACATATTTCACATACATATGTACTTTCACCAGTATGACGTTTCATATGAAGTTTCAATGATTGTCGATTTTGAAAAGTTTTTCGACAAACATCACAAGTTGGCGGTGTTGTCACATGACAACTCATATGGTACCTGAAAAATTTAATTTTTAATTTTTAAAAATTGTTAAATAAAACAAAAAATAAAGTAAAAAAAAAAATTACCTTAATTCTGTTTTTTTCTTAAATGTCTTTCCACATTGACGACATTTAAAACTCTTTTCAGCATGATTCAATTCATGTCTTTTTCTCGATGAATTTCTTGTAAATACTTTATTACATATTCCACACATAAATAATTTTTTTACCTTATGCTTTTTAATATGTTCAGAACATTCATCAGCGGTGAGAAATTCTTTTTTACATTGTGAACAATGATATTCTTCATTTATTTGATAATTATTTTTTTTATTATCCAATTTAATATTCACAGAATCAATTATATCACGTGTTGTATCACAAAAATGATCTTGTATGTGAATTTTTAAATTTTCTAACGATGAAAATTGTTCAAAGCACAATTCACATTTTGTTTCATCGTTTAAATTACTATTTCCCTCATTTTTCATTACATGCTCATGTAAATGAATAGCCAATTCTTGATTATCATGAAAACATTTATTACATTGTGAACAACAATTATTTAAACGTTGTACTTTTGTTTTTCTCTCAATAATATCGTTTGAATATTTTTCTGTTGACATTTTTAAAATTTCTTCAAATTCCTGTTCACTTTCATTTTCATACGGTTCAAAATTATTGAGAATTGATTCATCGTAATCCATTGTTTCCGATTCTTCTTTATTTACATTACAAATTTTCCACACCTGAAAATTTTCCTTTTTTTAATTACATTTTTTTTTTCAATTTAAATAGAAACTTAAGTTTTTAAATTATTTACCACTTCCATGTCATCATCCTCAGGTACCATTATTGTATTAACTTCACCTAAATTCAAGGGATCATCAGAAAGATTGTCACTAATAAAATTTTTGTAATATTCACTGTTTTCTGATTTACAACAATTACTTTCTGTACTCAAAGTTGAACGTAATGTTTCATCAGAAATTTTCACTTGTTTTCGAAATTCGTAAAATTTTTCAATTCGAAAATTACATGGATTACAAATTAATTGTGGCAATCTATCTCCCTCGTATATCTAAAAAAATTAAATTAAAACGTAAAATTTAATAAAAAAATTCCAACTATGTGAAATTACATTTAGTAAACAAATTATTCTCAAATAAAACAAATGTAACCGTTTGTTTCATAAAATATTATTTTTTAAACTAAAAATTCAGAATTATAAAATATTTCTAATCATTTTCAATAATAATTCTTTATAAGAAACAAAATATAAATGTTTATTATTCTACATTTTGAGGTTATGATACAACAAAACATATTTGTAAAATAATTTGCAAATAAAAGAAAATCAATGAAAGGAAAAACTAATTTCAAAAAAATGAGCAATTTTCAAAATTAAATGGACACGTTGTAATTTGGTAAAATGTTTTAAATGAGATTAAAAAAAAAAAGAGAGAAATATTGAACGCAACCAAAAAAAATCGAGACTTGTTATTTACCTGAACTTCCGCGATAGACGATATTTTATCTGCTAAAGATAAATAATTATCCAATTTAACATCATCTTTTTTGAAAATAGATAACATGTTTCTACATTCTTTTAAACAAATGCGACAAATATTATCAAATTTCTTGTTTAATAAATTGTTATGCATCTTCTCCATTATAAATGCACTTAAGAACTATACACACAAGCGAAAAAAAATTCTCCTTTTTACCGACAAAAAAAAAATTATCAACTATCGGTAAATATCACAAATTCGCGGATAAATTTAAAATAAAGATCAATTTTTGTTTTAAAAAAGAAAATAAAAATTTCAATTTAAGAAAATCATTTTATTTTTCTTATTTAACGACTTGGGAATTAAATAAAAAATTAATGTATCAAATATTTATTGCACTATTTGTAAAAAATAACAAATTGTTTTTCTAATAACAATTAGATTAATCTAATAGTATTATATATATATAAAAAACAACAATATCAACATATATTTATATGAATAAAAATAAAATATTTAAAATTACAATATTAATGTTAAATAAACCAATTTTTCAATTTTTGGAAAAATGATATCTTTTTTTGTTTTGGACATGGCTCAATTCCAGCAACGGAATTACGATAGTTTTTCCAAACTTTTATCAAATTTAAACAAACAGTTCCACCACCTCTTGTAAATTGAGTATTCTAAAAGAAATTTTATTTCAAATTAAATATATTTTAATTCAAAAATAATGATAATATGAATAATAATATTTAAAAAAAAAACTTACAGCTCGATTGATATCACCCACACAAACCCAATTTTTATTTAATTTATTTTCAGAAGCCACAGCCCATTTGGAATGATCATGACTACTATTAAAACTAAGATCAACTTCTTTTAAATAAACGGATTCAACATTAAGTACTCTGAAGAAAAGACAATTAAAAAAAGAAATATTTTAAATTTCTATGAATTCATTATTTTATTTATAAATTTAAATATTTTCATAAATTTTTTACTACCTTGAACCATTACATTCCGATGGCAATCTTCCACGTCCATTTAACCAAGTTTCCGTCAATAAATCAGATTTAAGTTCTGGTGCAACAAAATCGTCATATAAATCTGTAATGAAAAAAAAAGGTTCAATTAAAAATTCTTAACATTAGTTAATTTGAAAATAAATTCAAATTAATTAAAATTTAATTAAATTAAAAACTATTAACCTTTATTCCACTTTGCGCTTTTTGCAAAAGAAATAAATCTTGTTTGTTCCAAGGACCAAAGTATCGCTGAATTATTATAAGGGGCAATTTTTATTCGAACCTGATTAGCCGCATCGGCAAGAACCTTAAATTTTTGTCCCAAATCATTTGGAATATTATTTTTATAAACGGTAATTTGATTGTATTTCAATTGTTTCCCAACCAAATCATATTGATTTGAACCCAATGAAATGCAAAGAAAACTTTGTCCATTTTGTTTGCCTGAATCAGGATAATCATAAGAGCCATCAGGAATTTGTTGTATCGTTGTATTATCCGTTGTTGTACGTTTTCGTGGTTCTTTACCACCATTTGGTGCTGGTGGAAAATATGGAACACTGTGTATTAACCAATAACCCTTGTTATTGTCAACGTTTACAATTCCTTTTGCATGTCCATTTCTTCCCGTACTTCGATTTGGTGGTTGATCATTGTACAATAACCATAATTCATCATCCTCTTCTTTCTATAAAACAAAATTTATTTAATTAATTTTTTTATTAGTAAAAAATAAATAATTTTTTTAATTTGCTTTTTCATTTTTTTGTGCATTTTATTTTTAATTAAATTTAATATTAACAATTTGTAAAAAAAAAAAAAATTTAAAATTTAACTTACGTTATCATACAAAGAAGCCAAAGTATTTCCAGGAATAGAATTTTTTGAACTAATATCCTTTTCTGATAATGTCCAACTTTGACTAGTTGTCTCACTAGTCAAATAAAGATAAGCAACGCCTTTTTGTATCAATTTATTATTACTCTCTGGACGTTTTGGTAATTTATAAAGAACATACCTAAAAAAGCAAAATTTTTAATTTCTAAATTAAATATTGCAAAAAATAATCAAATAAATAAGTAAACTAATTCCTTCTTTTTAGAAATATTGAACAAAAATTATTTTTTGCGTTCAAAAATATCGATAGTTACAATTTTTTTTTTCAACATACCAATCGAGAGGCTGATTATTTTCTCCTCTACATTGTCTTGAACCATCTACGATTATTATCGTTAAACAAATTCCACAAAGGAGTAAGAAAATAGATAATTGATACATATCTTTAAATTTAATTATAAATTCTTTAAAATGTTGATCTTTTATATTTTCAATTGGACAACCAACTGCGTCATGATAAAGGATAAAATTATTATAAATCCACACTATGAAAACATGTGCCTCTATGAAATTGTATATATATATGATAAACTTGACCTTGCAATTGACTGAAACAAATCAACCTAATGATGGCAAATTATAATGTTAACAATCTTAATTTATAAGTTAAGATACTGACCATTTAACAATAAAAAATACATGAAAAATTGCGTCAAAAATTTTATAAAACAGTTAAAAACAATATAAAAAAATATTTAATAAACTTACTTGCAAAGAAATGAAAAATAATTAATCCTTCACTTTTATAAAAAAAAAAAAATAAATAATACACAACAAAAACTTTAATATTAAATTTCTCTTGAAATAGATGATGATAATAATAAAACACTCCTGATTCACTGATTAAAATTTTGTTAATATAAAAAATATAAAAATATATAAAATATAATAACTCAAATATTTTTGAGAAAATAATTATATAGTCAATATAACTATATTTGCAGTGAAGCAGAAAAATAATCGTTTTTATATTTTTCTAAAAATTGAATATTTTTTTTTTAAACGAACGCATGGGATTAATGAATTTTGACCCTTATTCGTTAAAAATAAGAAACACTCACTTTTTATAAAAAAAATAAATCTACTATTGCTTATCACATAATAGAAGAAAAAATCAAATGCGATTTTATCAAGCAAGAATAGAAAAAATTTATAATGTAATCACATAATCATAACAAAGAAAAGTAAAACCCATCATATTGTTATTGTCAAAAGTTTAAGGTTAAATTTTACGTAAATATTCAAATTTAACCTTGAAACTTTAAATCTTTTAAACTTTTTCTACACTTAGTAGAATAATAATAATTAATTTTAAATAAAACTTACTTTATTTTAATAATCGTGAGGAAAAGAAATGAGGACACACGTGAAAAAAAAACTCAGAACTCGCGGGGCAATGTGCGTAATTTAAGAAATGTTCCCCGAAACATTATCAACATAAATTTCATTCATGGGAAAATTACCAAACAAAAAATATTTCAAAAATAATAGCAAACTAGTTAAATAAATAATGTAATAAAATCCTATAAAGTAGAGAAAGAACTAACCTCAAAAATTAAGCATCTCTGAAGTGTCGACAAAAGATGAAAATTTACAACACACACACACATTAAAAATATACTTTTTTTTCTAATTAAAGATTTTGCACTTTTTATTAAATTCTTCTGGAAATTCTGGTTTGCTGTGAATTTAGCTGCAACTAATTATTCGCGCCTAGAGAGTTCTGCTCCGGACAAGGCAACAATTGCAAATGGCGTCGCTAAAGAACACTAACGCCTATGGTGGCGCAGTGGCGAAAATTGGAACTAACATTTTTTTCATATTTGACATTTTTGCAAAAATTTTATTTTCATTGTCAAAATATAATTAATAATCAATTAATTATCATTTATATTGAAGATTCTTTCTACTTTATAGATGGATATTTCAATTTTAAAACAGGATTACAAAAGAAAAAAAAATGTTTCATGAGGGGGTGAAAGATTATTTTAACTTTCATATTTTGAGTAATTTAGAACACTGGAAACCGAAATACTATTAACAATCAACTACTAAATATTTATATTAAACGATTTAGGTATTTTTAATATAGATGAGCTAAATTACGATTAGATTTTTAAAGATGATTAACAAAAATTTCCCTAAACTCTGCACTGTGCAGATTGCAAATGGCGTCGCTGAAGGAGAACACTAACGCCATTAGGGGCGGAAGCGGCGAAACTTGGAACTAAACATATTCAAATTTTCCTGTGTATTTTTTTCGCGCCAAATAAATATGCGCAGTACATAATGCGCAATTGAAAGAGGTTAAAACTTTTTTCTTCAATTAATTATTATATACAATTAAAGACAATGGAATAACAAAATTTAATTACCCATCGATGACAAAATGTTTATATTCATCAATTTTTGTATTTTTGAATCTTCTCATAGCTAAATTTACATTGAAATTTTAATTAATAATTGAATGAGATAAAATTCCACAGGGACCACAGGTCTTCGTATACTGACGTCACAATTACAAATGGCCAATGACGCAAAACAGAAGCGCTATAGTAACGGATGTGGACAATATATGAACCAAAATTACTCAAAATGGCGCCGAGTGTTCATGAATAGAGATCATTGAGCAAGAAGAAGAACGTCATAAAAACAATAAGAAAAAATAATCAAAAAAAAAAAAACAAAAAAGAAACAAAAAATGAAAGAATTTAAGTGATTATGCAAAATGCCTGTTTAATTATGAGATTGGAGAAAAAATCGCACAGAATAATATATCAATTTTCCAAAGAGCGGAAGTGAATAAGTTGAAAACCATATCATGGATTTTCCTTAATAGGACATTCTTTTTACTGTATACTGTAAGAAGATTTTAAAAAAATAAAATCTATTATTCTATTATTGTCAACTAAAAAGAGGTATGTTTATTTCTTGCATTTATTATCAACATTGATAAAAATTCTGTTCGGAAATGATATAGTGTTTAAAAAGTTCTTTGTGCTCGAAAATTGTAGTTATCTTGTCTCTTTTTTTCTACATTTCTCTATATTCATTATATTAATATCTAATAATTATAACGTAATTAAAATTTAATCTAAGGAATGTTTCATCATTAAGTTGTATTAGAAAAATTATTTCACTTTTTTTTAGATATAAATTTTTAATTTAAATATGTAAATGTTTCTTTTATAAAAGCGTTCAAGTGTTATCATTTTTGATAAGAAATGATTTTAGATTTTATTTCATAATTGGAATTTTAATGTCTATTTTGAAAAAGAGATGAAATTAAAATTTAAGTACATCAATTTTTATTTTATAAATAAAAAATAGAAGTACATTATACTCAATTTTTATTTTATAAATAAAAAATAGGAGTACATAATACTCCGCCTAAGAATTAAAATAATTAATATTTTAAATTAGAAATCAAAAAATTTTCTATTATATATTTTTCAGATGTTTTCTGTCTTGCAATGAATACATGGAATGAATTTGAAATTTTTGTCGATTCTTGGCTACTGTAACATATATATATGTATATATATATATTAAATATATATTATATATATATATGTGTGTGAATAATGAGTGAAATCGACGATGAGGGAGATTTAGTAAGTGGATGGCGTGAATGTTCAAGTTGGCTGATAAGATGTGGAGCATTACGTGCGGATCATCGTGCAAATTGGCCAAATGCAACAGCACGCGATTTGGCCTATATTTTACGAGATGGAGTACTATTGTGCAATCTTTTAAATATTTTAGACTCTGGATGTATTGATATGAAAGATGTCAATCAAAAGCCACAAATGGCACAATTTTTATGCCTGCGTAATATCAAAGTATTTCTATCAACTTGCTTTCAAATTTTCAATATTGCCGAATCCGATCTTTTTGAGGCGCGAATGCTTTTTGATTTGACAAATTTTCACAAAGTTCTATGCACACTTAGCTCACTTTCAAATTCACCTCGTTTAAGGCTCAAAGGCATTCCGTAAGTGTTAAATGTTTATTGAAATAATATTTAAATCGAAAACTAAATGAAATATTTTTTTTTTGGGAAAAATAATTCATAAATAAAATTTACAGAGGATTTGTCGTGAAGAAGGGACGATCACAGGAGGATATTTACAAGGATTTACAAAGCGTCGGTGCTGGGTGAGTGTATTTTTCTTTTTTTTTTTTTTAATTGTCCCATTGTGATGAGAGAAAAATAATTTGGCAGAAAATTGTTTTTTTTCGTGGGGTAATGGCTTAATTAAAAAGAAATTTTTTTCTTAAATGGTTTAGCCCCCAGGCTGCATTTACGATAAAACCTAGGGGTGAGGACCTAGACGATTCCCAAGTTTATCAGGAATTGCTCTGCTTTTCGACTACCCCTCAACGCGACTGGCCTAAAGCGGAGGAGGTATTTGGCATATTTTGTTCCCTCTATTTGATGTGACAATAATATGCGGGAAAAAGCACCAAAAATCTTGAAAAATAATAATTTTTTCAAATTTTGAGAACTTTTAAAAAAATTTAAATTTTTAATAAATAGAAAATTAAAAACAAATTTAAAATCAAATTTTTTTAAAAATTCAAAATAAAATTAAAATTTTCGAAATTATCAAATTAATAATTTGGTGCTTTTTACCTGTTTCTCCTAATCCCGAAAGTGTTTCATGCCAGTGCCTCTTGAAAAAAATATTCATCCATAAATCTGAAAAAAAAATGATTTGCTACATTTAATTTTGTCTATTATTATTTTTTTTTGCTAGTTTGCATTGTAATATTTAGTGCATGGCTGTTTGTTTATTTTTATTTTTTTTTTTTGTATTTTGGAAAAAAAAGGCGTGAAAGCGATGGCCGTCGAAGGAGATTTAGATGGCGCGAAAGAGATGAGGCAGGTGGAGGTGGAGTAGGAGGAGATGATGAGGATTCCAATGGCGAAGAAGGTGGCTATGGTGCTTGCAACAGTCATGCTCAAAGAGAAAAAGTCTATCACGATTTGTGTAGACTGCATCTTCCACCTCCTCCGTCTACTGCACAGGTTATATTAATTTTTATTTATTTATGATTTCAAAAAAAAAAAACAAAAATGTTATTTTCGTTTTATCACAAGCTTTTCGTCAATTCATCACTGCATGATTCAAATTTTAATTAATATCTTTAATTATATAATATAATCAATTTTTAGATTTTATTTTAATTATAAATTTTGGTGAAATTAAAAAAATTAATTTATTTAGGGTGCAATTGCTGGCGGTGAGAAGAGGGATTACGTTGTTCAAGAATTAGTGGAAACAGAATGTAATTATTCGGAAGTTTTGAATAATTTATTGAGGCATTTTGCAAGGCCATTGTCATCAATGTTGAAACCAGAGGATTCGTCAAGAATTTTTTTTGGTATCAAAGATCTATCGGAGATTCATGCGGGATTTCATAGTTCATTACGTAAAGCACGAAATGGCGCTGCTTTAGCACAAGTTTTTCTTGATTGGCGAGAAAAATTTCTCATCTACGGTGATTATTGCGCAAATTTGACAACCGCTCAAACAATATTGCAAGATGTATGCTCGAGAAATGAGGAAATTAATCAAGAAGTTATTGTAAGTATTATAATTATTGTTTGATTGGAATTTTAATTTAAAATTAAATTTTTTTTTTTTTTGATATTTAAACAGAGATGCCAACAAGAAGCGAATAATGGAAAATTTAAATTACGTGATATTCTCTCAGTGCCAATGCAGAGGATTCTTAAGTATCATTTATTATTAGAAAAACTAGTAGAAGAAACTCCTCGCGACTGGAATGAGGATCATCGTCAATTATCAAAAGCAAGAGAAGTTATGGTTGATGTAGCACAATATATTAATGAAGTTAAACGAGATTCTGACACTTTGGATATTATAAAAGATATTCAAAGATGCATAATCGACTGGGATGTACCTGAGAATGCCGAATTAAAAGACTTTGGTCGATTGCTTATGGATGGGGAACTCAAGGTTCATTTTTCACAAATAGAAATAAAAAAAAAAAATCTATCGGATTTCAAAAATTAATTTTTACAATTATATGTATATATTTGAATGCTAATTGAAAATAATTTGAAATTTCAGGTGAAAGCACACGGTGATCAAAGAGTAAAAGCGCGATATACATTTGTATTTGAACAAGCTGTACTCGTGTGTAAAGCAGCGCGTGGCGAACAGTATTGTTATCGTGGAACATTGAAATTGGACGATTATCGAATTGAAGATCATACTGGAAGACGAACATTAGGTCGCGATTCACGATGGTCCTATCAATGGTTTTTGGTTCATAAACAAATGCGAACGGCTTATACATTATTTGCGCGTACTGATGATCTTAAACAAATGTGGATAAAAGCATTACAAGACGCCATGGATAATGTTAATCCAGCCGCATGTCGTCACACTAATCATAAATTTAAATTAATCACGTTCGATAATCCCCGCAGTTGTCAGAGATGTGAAAAATTTCTCAAAGGACGAATATTTCAGGTAAAAAAAAAATAATTTATTTATTTCTTTACTTAATAATTTTTATTTAAAATTGTTTTTAATTAAATTTGAAAAATTGAATTATTGGAAAGAATTTTTTTTTTGTTCCAGGGCTATAAATGTGACGTATGCGGGCTTGCTGTTCATAAACAATGCATTATATACTCGGGAAAATGTATGCCTGCACCGCCGCCTCCTCCGCCTCCGCCACCTTTACCTTGCGAACGTGCTTTAACCGATAAATTATGGTACGTTGGAGTAATGGGTCGTGACGTTGCTGCCAGTAAATTGGAAGCTCGTGAAGATGGAACCTATATGTTAAGGTTACGACCTGCCGGACAACCTCGACTTCAATATGAAACCAATTTTGCCCTAAGCATAAAGTGAGTAAATATTGAAAAAAAAAATTCAAAATAAAATTTTAAATATTTCAATTAATTGAATTTTTAATTACAGAGCCGACGGTACAGTGAAACATATACGTGTATTTCAACGAGATGTCGATGGTGCTGATTTATATTATCTCAGTGAATCTCGCTTCTTTAAAAGTGTTGTTGAGCTTGTTGAATTTTACGAGAGATCATCGCTCGCTGAAAATTTTGAAAAACTCGATCAACGTTTATTGTGGCCATTTAGGAGAGTTTTAGCAAAAGCTTTATACAATTTTCGTGGCGAAGAACGCAATCAATTGAGTTTACGTCGCGGATGTCGTGTTGTAGTACTAAGCAAAGAAGGCGAGGCAAAAGGATGGTGGAAGGGAAAAATCAACGATCAAGTGGGATTTTTCCCAAAAGAATACGTGGAAGAAGAATAAAAGCCTTCGGCCTTTAAAAACAAAAATTCTACATCATTAGCCTAATCATTGTTAAAAAAAAAAAAAAAAATGATATATGCTCAAAACATATTTCATTTCGCTAAATTTTAATCATCCACTGATCAACATTGATTGAATGATTCAAATGTGATCGTCGTCAAATGATCCGATGTGATCGTGATGATATCAATTTATTTCATTATTAATTTTATTTCTAATTTTATTTTTAATTGTAAAATTAACAAAAATTATGAATTTAATTATTATCAATTATTATTATTATTATTGTGAATTTTTAATAATTCAGTGATTATTACCAAATTATGAATTTTAATAATCTATTTATTGTGTATTTTTAAATTGTCATTATGATCCAACGATTATTACGACTATCCAATGATTATTGCGATTAATGATTCAACGATCAGGGTGAATGTCCAATCAAATAAAAAAAAATGCGAGATCCCTGTAAAAAAATGTTTTGTGAAAAAATAAAAATATAACGGATTTCGAGGGACAATGCGAGAAAGGTTGGACATTAATATACAGTCGGTGTATTATTTTTTTTTTTTTTCTCTGTAAAAAAGAAAATATTCGCTCTCTTCCGTCGCAGTGTTAACTAATAATTACAAGAAAAGAAAAATTTAAACACGTATTCTGTATTATAAATATAAAATGAAAAAAAAACAAATATAGCGCGCACATGTAAATGCATATATTATATATTTATGTAGGTATCTTCACTCGCGCGCATTAACTCATGTTATTATTATTATTGTTAGAAGCGAGAAGGTCTACAATATTTTTAATTCCGAGACGTTATTCTCCAATTGTGCCAATACAGATCGTCAATAAAATTGGGATTTGCCCGAACCGTTATAGAAATTGTTTGATTTTTCTTTATATTTTCATTCTACTTATGTAAAAATAATTTTCATTTTCTTTACTCAAATTTTTATTTTAATTGTAACTTTATTAAAATTAGTTTAACTATTATAAATGAAATTAAAAGAAATTAATTCATTCATTAAATGAATGAATTAAAGAAGATAATTTACAAAACTATTTTTAATTTAAAATGAAAAAAAAATGAAATTAAAATAATTTCCATAAAGAAATGAAAATCAATTCAATAAAACTGAAAATTGATAATTATTTACTAATTAAATTCTAATAGAAGATAAAGCAGTGTATATAATATAAATATTTTATTATTTCCAAGTAGTTAAAAAAATAGTTGCCTTATTTTAATTGGTCGTTAAAAATAACTTGAATATATATAAAAATTAAAAACAAAAGACGGGGAAAAAAATTATTGTCTAGCCACTATAATCAGAAAAAAACAACTAAATTCTCTCAAAATAAACACGAAATTCATAATCACAATAAAAAAGCACATTATACATTTTTTTTTTTCGACGAGAGAAAAAGAACGAGATTAAAAACCCTCATTAGAATTTCTAAAAATCATTTTCGATAGAAAAAAAAAAATTATCAAAGATCAAAATTCCTTCGTTTTTGATTAACAATCAAGTCGACTTTTTGTTCAATTCGTTTACAACCGGCTTTTGAATAAAGATTATGTGGTGGTGGATCAAATGTCACGTGTTTCATTACTTCGCTCACCATTTCATCAGTTGATTCAATGAAACGTTCACGAAATGCCCTTTGAACACATTTAATAACATGTGATTCCTCAAGTGGCAAAAATGGCACATAATGATCAATTAAACTTGTTTCAATTGTATCACTTTTATGAAATCCACCCTTCTCATTGAATGCTCCAATTGTTATTAAATTCTCAAAATCCTGAAGTGATGTGTCCTCACGATTTTTACCACTCTCCCATAATTCAAGTAAACGTCTCACCAATTGTTGACTTCCAGTGTTTGATAAAAATATAAATATTGCCTTATTTTTATTAACGCCTGCCAATTTAAAATAACTCGTATAATCGAGAATTGGCACTAATGCATTTAATACACCCTCTGGCATTTTATCGACCTCATCGAATACAAATAATGATCTATCACATTTTTTTATACTCTTGACAAGTTCCTGGCGCAAATCCGCCTGCGATTTTAAATAATATTTTGTCAATAAAATAATTGAAATGAAATTTTCTTGAATATTAATTAAATATTCTCTTAAAATTCTTATTCAGAAATTAATTTAATATCTAATATTAGTTATTTTTAAAGTAAAAAATTTGTTAATTAAAATTAAAAGCCTTAAAGTCGATTCATAGGGAAATTTTTTTTTTTTTTTTTTAATTTAACACACCTTATATTTATCAATATCTCGTTCATTTGGAAAATCATCTCGTCCATTGAAAAAATGAAAATATTCGCTATCCTCACCATTTTTGAATAATGCTTTTGCTATCATTTTAACAACAAAATTTTTCCCACTTCCTGGCAATCCATGAAAACTCATTGCCAATGGTTTTATTGGATGAAGATGTGATAAATGACCTCGAATTGCATTAAGTACTGTTTCGTGAGCAATTTTCTGACCAAATAACTCTTTTCTAAGCATACTATCCAAATCTAAATATTTCAAAAAACAAATATTTTATTAATTAGTTTTTTTTTTTAAATAAAATAAAAATTCTTTTTCTAAACTAAAATAAAAAGTAATTTGAAATTGTTCTTATTTTGAAAAAATTTACATTAAAAATAATAACAAAAAAAAATTCTTACGCCAAATATCAGCTGGAATATATTCATCATTACAGCATTCTGTAACTTTACATTTTAAATATGAATAACCTGCATACATTCCTGCAAGTCCCGCTCCTGCATATCCTAAACTAAGTAAAGGTAAAATTCCAATTACATTTTGAATTTGTAGAATTAGAAAAACAGTCAAAATGACTTGGAAAGTCAAAAAATTCATTTTCACAACACAATGAAATCAGTAGAGGCATTTAATAACACATACATTTATATCTATATTAATTATTTTTGCAAACAATTTAACAACATTATGCAAACAATTCAACAAATTATTAGGGAAAAAACACATAAAGTTAACTAATTAAATCAACTAATTAAACACCGTATATAAATGATTGTTTAGAGCCAAAGCAGAATATATTCTTGAACGGGAACGCAATCGTGAATGGAAACGTAAGAATGGGTGAGAGAAGAATAAATATATTTGCTATCCTTCTCTTACTCATTCTTACGTTTCCGTTTACGATTGCGTTCCCGTTCAAGAATCTATTCTGCTTAGGCCTTTACAGTTGTGTACAGGTTATGTTATTTATATCGATAGTTCGATTAATTTTCGAATGCGATAGTATCGAAAAAAACGTTCGATAGCTGTCAACAAAACAATGACTACTTCTCAAGAAAAGTACGATTATTTATTGGTTTTTTTTGTAATATAACATTTTAACCAATAAAAATGAATTAATTAATTAATTTTTGTAATGATATTTAAAAAAATTGCAGATTAGAAAATTGCGAAGTATGCGGAAAGGAGACGGCAAAATACACGTGTCCAAAATGTGAGGTTAGAACTTGCAGTCTCACGTGTTCGAATATTCACAAAAAAGAACTTAATTGTGATGGAATTCGTGATAAAACGAAATTTTTACCAATTAAATCAATAACAGAATTAGATTTAGCGAGTGGTAATTATATCAATTTATTAATATAATTATAAAACAATTATTGTATTTGTTTTTATGGCCTATTGTATGTTTTTTTTTTTTTTTAATTGTGTTAATATTTTGTTTTTTTTTTAAAGTCGTAAAATATTTAAATAATAATTCACAGACTATTGTTTACTTCAAGAAGTTGGCAGATGTGTTGATAAATATGATCGAGATCCTCTTAAACGTACGGGTGTAAATAATTTTCTTCCTATGGTTAGTAAATTTAAAATAAATTTAATTTACTATTTAATATTTTTTGTCGTATTTTTTAACTGAATATTTTTAAATGTTCAAAAATCATTTACTCAGTGAAAATAAATTTTCAGTTTCTTCGTAAATTAAAATATGCTGCTTTTAAAAGAGGAGTGACATTAGATTTTTTACCACGTAGTTTTAGTCGAAACAAAGAGAATACAACACGATTTTTATGGAATAAAAATGAATTACTTTGGCGAATTGATTGGATTTTTCCGCAAGCAGAAAATGTCAAATGGTCTACGGAAAAGTAATAAATTAAATTAATTAACATTTTTAATTAATCTAATTGTTTTCAAAAACAATTTTTGAATTATTAATATTAAATAATTTAAGAATAATTTAATAAATAATTTAATTTAATTTACAGAGCTTCCGAAAAAGCAAGATTATCCGTTTTAATAGAAAATATTCTGGAACCGGAAATAAAAGCAAATGAAAATCCAGAAATTTGTAATTTAAAATCAATTTTAAGAAATAAATTACAATTCTATCGATCTACTGGTTTAAATGGAATTAAAGTTCTTATGAAAGCAGAAAAAGTTCAAAATTCAAGTTCAAGGTATGTAAAAAATAAAAGAGAAAAGAAATAAAAAAAAAACGATTTTTAATTAAATTCTTTTGTTCAGATTTTATGAATTGGATTTAAATTTAACGTTGGCGGAAAATTTGGAACAAAAATCAGTCATTGAATTTCCAACATTTTACGTTATTTTAAAAAGTCATTCGGATATGTACGAAATGATTGATTCTGGTGAGTGCATTTTTTTTTTTTTTTTTTTTATAGATTCTAAACTAATAGACAAAACAAATAATTTTATTTGTAATTGAAAATAATATTATTATATTTTATATTTATTAGATGACGAAAATGAAAATTGCGAAAAGAAAAATTTCCGACACAAGCAAAAATTTCAGGGAAATCATAAAAATTCTCCAGCAAATAAAAATGTTGAAAATTCTAACGAAAAAATAGAATCAGAATCAATAAATTTTCTCTTTCATACCGAATTCACTGATTCTGAGGACGAGAAAGCAAAATTGGCAAAGGAGAAACAAACAAAATTAAACGAGAGAAAGAGAAAATTTCAAAAATATCAAAAAGAAAAAATAGTACCAAAAAAAGTTATAAAAACACGAGATTCAGTGAAAGAATTCACGGGAATTTGTATGTCCGATTCGGAAGACGATATTACACAAAATAAAAATCTTCAAATTAATTCACAAGAAATTAATTCTTCGCCTACAATTGATAATAATTCAATAGAAGGTGAAAAATTTGCCAATGAAATTTCTCACATTACCGACTCAGAAGATGAAGGTCCTGAGGAAAAACCAATTCAAAGACGTTTTTCAATTAAAAATGAAGACGAATTAAAAAAAGAAGAAAATATAAAAGAGAAAAATAATTTAGAGAAAGAAAAATCTGCAATTCAAAATATAGCAATGAATTATTTTAGTGCCTATATGTCTGATTCGGAAGAAGAAACAATTTCTGAAAATCAGGAAACTTCCAATAATTCAAAATTACAAATTCCCGATTATAACGTATTAGTTAAAATGAATAATTAAAATTAATTATAAATTTAATTAAATATATTTTTTATAAAGTAAAACTTCAGTTTGTGATATATTAATTAATTTCTTTTCTTTTTTTATTATTGTAAATATTTCCATAATGAATGCACTAATACAGATATACACATAAAAATAACATAATACAAATCTTTTCTACCCCGTAATATTCTAAAAAAAAAAAAAATTGTTCAGACATTTATATAGATTTGCATCCAACAATCCCTACAATCACATAACATATTTTAATTAATTATTAATACTATAAATTACCAAGATTATTTAATTTAATAAATTGAAAAAATAGTCGTAACTTTTTTCTTCAACTTTTATCGGATGATTATTAAAATTAAGAAAAAGACAATTATTTCGAATAAGTGAAATAAAATGTTTTGAATTTCAAACTGATAATTTCAGATTAAAATTCTTTTTAGTGAAAAAAGGTTTAAATTTCTATTCTAAAATTCAATAAACGGATGATTTGTTTTTTTTTGTTGCAAAAATGGCATAATTATTACTAAATTTACAGTCTCAGTTGTACTTAAATAAGAACAAAAGAGAAGGGGATAAAATTCATCGAAAGAACTTTTAAAGATAAATTTACAAATTTTTTTTTTTCTCTTTCTAATAATGAAAATTTGTCTTTTTTCTCCGGCTTTTTTTGACGCTCTCAAAATGTGTATAATGAATACACAATTTGATCTTTTTTTTTTTAACGCTACATATATCTAGACAATATTGTGAAATATAGGCCTTTGTTGTGATAAAACTAAAGAATAAAGAAATATAAAAGGAAGACGAGTAATGCCACAATTCCGGCAACTGCTTTTATATACATTGATTTGCTGTTTAAATGCGCTGCGTCCTTTCTGTATTTTTGGGACAGCATTGACAAATTTTGTGTTTTCGAGTCCAATTCTAGAAAAAAATTTTCGAAAATGATTCCATTAATTTAATTTTCAAATCGATTTAAAATGTTAATAATTTTAATTTTATTATACAAACAATAAATGTTAAAAAAAAAAAAAATACCCGATAGAACAGTTCCCCTTGTCAATACGTCGTCTATATTTTGAACCATTATCCTTTGTACATCTTGAAGTTGATTATTCAAAGCACTCATATTTCTTCTAGATCTACTATCTGAAAACGTCTTTTTTGCTTTTTGAATATAAGTGTCTGAAAAAAACAGTAATTAATTAATTACCGCTTTTCTAAATGCAATAAGCAATTTTTATTATTTAAAAAAAAAACTCCACAAGAGAGAAAAATTTACCAAATTCTATAAATGTATAAGGTCTAGTGACAGTATTTACTCTTCTTCCGTACTGAGAATGGAATTCTTGTGCTATATCTTCAAGATAACTGTAAGCTAATCGTTTGCTGTAATGTCTTTCACAGAGTACCAAATAGCAAACGTCGTTTTCTATTAAATAACTAAAAGAAAACAAAAGAAAAAAATATAATATCAGTTAATATTAAATTTAATATAATATTATTAATAGAACGTATAATTATTATACTAAATATTAAATTATTAATTACTGAAAAAGATATTGTCCAGTTTCAATGGAACATCTAGAAGGAGATTGTGGTCCAAGTTTTCTAAATAACATTTTTGCTTGATTTTGAAATTCCAAAATATTTCTTCCACTCTGAAAATTAAATTAATTAAAAATTTAATTTAAAAAAAAAAAATAAAAAGATCAAAAATTGAATTTTTAACTTTTGGAGAATTTATAAATATTTTTTATTAACAAATATAAAACAAAAAATTTTGTTTAAAAAAAAAAATCATTTCAAATAGAGAATTTCAAGAAAATTATTATTTCAATTTAATGTTTAAATTAAATAACATATTGTTCAATATAAAATGACATTTCATCAGGATTCTAACCTGTTCATCATCCTGTATAGTGGCAGCTAATGGTAAACCATCACCTATCCTCGCTATCATTGTTAACAAAATCATTTTGTATGTCTATTATTTACAGTTTTCTTTTTTAATTATAAAAACACTATAGAATTTTTCTAAAAAATCACTTTAATTCACAAATAATTACATTTGCAATGACAATTCTTTAGTTTGTCGGGAAAAACCGACCGAGTTTAACACGCGCGCACATGAATTTCATGAATTCTCCACTAATCCATTCAAAGCGCACCACGTCAGATCCTTTCTCTACTTCCAACTCATCATTATTTCCAATTTTTTTTTTTTATATATCACTTAATTTTTAATTAATAAAATTCAATAACTCCTGAAAATTATTAAAATAAAAATTTTTTTGGTTAGTTTTATTTTACAATTTAAAAACCTCTATTTGAATCATAATAAAAATTTGCGTCTACAATTTTATAAAATTAGTTAAATATATTTAAATTGAGTTATTGAAAATCATTTTGTTTTATATTTATATTATTTATCACTTAAAAATAATTTAAATTTAAATTTTTGCAAAATTTTTATCAGTGACTATCATTTGATTTTGTTTCTTTGATTTGTTAATACAATGTGTATTTAACTAAATGTAAATAAAATAATTAAATTATTCAACTCATTGATATAAATTAAAAACTAATTTAATAATCAAAAAACAATTAATTGTAATTGTTTAGAAAATATTAATGAAAACAATTTAAATTTAATGGTATTTAAAAAATGTTTAAGAACCACTGTTGAAATTGTTGACCGCGCCACCTGTCGGTATAAAATTAAACCCTCTTATTAAAATGTCTGTCACTCGGTCGACAGGAGAAGTTTGTGAAAAATTTGTGACGTTTATGCTGCTGTGGCTAAACCGCAATTCCCTTTCCCTGGTGTGTAAAATGTACTGAATTTTTTTTTTTATTTTAATAAGTAGCCGCGGTATCCATTTCGGTGAAATTTCAAGTAAATTGTTTACAATAAAATTAATGGTGTGATCAGTGAAAGGGACCCAGGTGCTCATAAAATAATAATGCTTTTATTAGTGCACGATTGTGAATACAGGACACGATAGCTTGGTGAGTATATGACTTGTGATACTATTTCAGTTTTCACACAGCTGGTAGAAAATCATTTATTCTGTCAATTTAGAAAGTTTCATTTTCCCATAATGTTTCTCTAATTGCAAACATGAGGTTTACTAAAAAAAAAAAGTGCATCCTCACCGTTTCGATTACATAATTTCTTTGCAAATTCATTAGATTTTCTGTCTTTAAGAAAAATAGCCATTCAATGCTTTCCATTTTGACTTGAAACGCCTTTTCCTAAGAGGATTTTTCACTGCTTCTCAATTTTTCCATCTGTTAAAATTCAGAATATTGAGGTTATTGACATTATACACTGCCGGGAAGTTTTTCGCTTAATTTTCCTAATTTTCCTCTAATTTGTTTTTTCACAGATTGTTTGTAAATAAGCGTTACTCCACTCTTGACGTTTTTGACCTCATTGCTTATATATATATATATATATATTATTTTTTTTTGTCTATTTTCAAATTTCTCCCAGATGTTTTTTCCTTCATTATCGATTTCTATTTAAAAATTTCTGCAAATTTTGTCTATTTTTAAATTGCATGAAGAATTTTCATTTCGAGAAAAATCATTTCAATTTCTTATCATGGATATTGTGAAAGAAATTGTAAAATTTTCAATTTGATTTAAAGGGAAACTATTAATCATGGCACTTATCTTTTTTTTTTTTTTTTTTTTTATTTGATTGTGAAATCTTGTGATTTATACAAAGAGAATCGCGTTAATATTACAAACAATACAATTAATGAGAAATAAAAAAGAATGTTTTATTATTCAAGACAATTTGCTTCAATTTGTAGATTTTTAATTAAAAAAATATAAATATAATTTATTTTTCAAATATTTTTTAATATTAACAAAAAATTTTTTTTGTTTTGCAGATACTTTATAGATTTATAAATTGAAAGGTGCTTTATCAGTATGAGTGTAAGTATAATTTCTTGACTGAATAGATAAGAACATTTATATATATATATATAACGAAGAGATGACGCTTGAAAAATTTTATTTTATTGGCTTAAATATTATTCTAGAATCCATATCGTGGACGGCCAACTCGTGCAAGAGTAGAAACAACTACTGGCTATGGATTACAAAATCAAAATCCCTGGAATTCAATGTCAGGCCAAGTTCCTCCAAACGTACCATCTTCGGGTAATGTCTTCCATAATCAAGCGACCGGTGTAAATCAACCGAAATCATCAACGGATTCATGGGATTGGGGCACAGACAATGGAAATAATGGCAATAATGATTCATGGAATTGGAGCATTGATCAACAACCGGAACCTCATTATTCATCACCTCCACAACAACAACAATCGCAACAGCAACAAAATCAATTTATTCCTTATCAAAAACAAACGCCACCCGTGCAAGAAAATTATTACAAGAGTTTAAATGGAAATAATAGAACATTAACCAATCAGCATTCCACTTCCGGTAGAACTACACCGCGAACAAATTTAAGTCGTGAATCAACTCCAAATCATGGTGATAATTATTTTTCATATCAAAATTATACTTTTAATCAACAATTACCACCTGCACAACGACCAAGTTCAACAAAATCAAATTCATCATTGTCTGAACAACAATCACAATGGCCGAATGATCAACAATTTTCCTATTCGCCACAAAGTTTACCACCTCAAACACAATTGTCACAGCCTCCTGTTGGCAATTATAATTGGAACGAGCGGCAATCGGTCTCACTTCAAAATTGGCAGGATCAGCCAAAAAATTCTGGTTATTGGCAAGAAACAGGAACGAGCGATAGTGGAGGAGGAAATCAATGGACACAATCACAAAATCAAATTTCATCGCCTCAATCTCCAACTTTGCAGAATGTTCATTCGCCTTTGATTCATCAACAACCTGTTCAACAGCAAACTCCGCATCATCTTCAACAGCAAGGTCCTCAGATTCATCAGCAATCTCCTCAAATTCAAAGTCCCCAACAATCATTACAAACTCCCGCTCAATCAAATCAAATTCCTGCTCAAGGTTTCCATCAACAAAATTCTTCAGCTCAATCACAACAAATTCCCGATTATTCGCCATCACAAAATTGGCACGATCAAAGAGCAGGCTGGTCAAATAATACGCCATTAAATCAATGGCAAAATCAAAATTCAGAAGCTGTACAACCGAATCAATGGCCAAAATCGGAGAATAATTCCCAACAATGGCAACAGGAAATTGCTCAAAATGAACCACCACAGCCAACAAATTCTTCTTCTTCTTCTTCTTCTTGGATGCAACAAACGGACATAAAAGAAAATTCCCTTGATAATAGTGAATCAAATAGAATTTCAGCAAGCGAATGGCAAACAATAAGACCCGCTGCACATTTTGCCTCATCAAATACATCAACAACTTCAGGTTCAACAGCAAATATTTCCAATATTACTGAACAAACAGAAGAGAGGAAAAAAATTACTCCGGCAACAAGTTCAACATCTTTAAATGATTCAACTGGTTTATCATCTGGTCCAAGTAAAACAAAAACCACATTCAGCGCTCAGGATAGTCTTCAAGATCAGGAGAATATTGAACTCGATTGGAATGCCGACAGTGAATGGACCTCGGAATTAACAACTGGATTAAGTCAAATGAATATAAATAAAAATTCCACCAAAATACAATCATCTGATGTTGATAATTCATCAATAATAGCAAATTTACCAGAAGTCGAGACAGAAAATGCTATTAAAGAAACTCAACAAGTAGAAGGAGAAACATACGATCAATGGTATAATCAATCAACATCAATTGCACAAGATAATTGGTATCCAAATGATCGTATTCGTAACACTCAAAAATGGCCCACTGAGCAAAATGTTGAAAATTACGAAAATATTCAACAATCATCCGATTTTATGAATCTCGAAGTTGTTGCACCTGAAATGCAAGTCAAAGATATTTATGGATCACGCGAATCAATAAATCAAGAAACATTGGATAATGATCCAAAAATTGCTGAGTCAAATTCCCGTGATTTTAAACAAGAAGTCAACAATATCGAAGTCCCTTCTTTGATTAATCAACCCGAGCAGGTATTTTTTTTTTTTATATTTCTCTTTCAATAAAATAAGAAATAGAATAATTTTTAAAATAATAAATTTTTTCCAGGCACCTGATAATTACGAATTTGCCTCAAATGATCGGAATACATTCCTCGAGACTGGTGAATTAACAGATTCACATGAGGAACACGAACCAACGCCACCGAGTCAAGACGATGAAAATGACGAAGTCCCAAATGATATTCCATTTTTGAGAGAGGTACCAGGTCAAAGTTCCGTGGATCCAAGGAGGAATGATCCAACTGGTCAGGAACAATATGGACAAGCACGTATTATTGATCCTAGACGAAATGATCCATCGGGTCAAGAGCAAACACAAACAAGAAATGTTGATCGAAGTGAGAGACGTGATGTCCCACCGGGTCAAGAGAGAATTGTTCCATTATTGCAAAGAGTCGATTCAGATATAATGGAACGTAGAAATGATCCTTCAGGTAGAGAAAGATCAATACCACCACCACCACCACCTCAACAATCGAGAAATGATCCATCGGGCGAAGAACAATCATTGCAAATTCCTCAAGCACCACTTGAATCAAGTGAATCGCGCGAAATTCCCGGTAGGGGAAACGAAATTGAAGAGGCAATTCAACAGAGTGATAGTGATCTTAGACAAATTCTTGGTGGCGCCTCACCTAATGAATCCAGTCAGACAATCGATGATAGATCTCGTGTTATCACTGGATCACAGGAAGTTATGAGTTCTGCTCGTGAGTTTCTTTTTTATTTTCTAATTTGTATCACAATTGTCAGGGAAAAAATTTTCTTTTTTACAGAGAATTTAATTATTTCGTAATTTATTCAAAATTACGAAATAATTAAGTTCTAAAATATTAAATAATATATAATTAAAATAATTAATGATAAAATTAATTATTTTTGAAAATAATTGAATTTTCTTATATTGAATTAAAAAAATTTTAAGTAATTGAATCACGGAATTTTTTTTTTTTTTTTTATAGAAAACAAACAAAATTTGAAAATATTAGGGAAAAATACAAAAATATTGTCTAGAATTCAGGAAAAATTATAATGAATTTTTTATGGTACACCTGTTTATTTTTTTAAATTAATTGAATTTGCTTATTTTTGTTCTCGTTTTTTTATTGATGAGAATTTAAAGAAAAAAAATTTTTCTTTTTTTATCTTTAGCTTTGGCAATAATGCAAGAATCTGTCAGTGAAAGTCGAAATAAACGCGAAGAGGCTGTTGGTGCTTCATTAGAAGGAAAAGGGCCGAATAGATCTCAAAATCGAAGAGATTCCTTTGAGGATGGCGATGATGAGCAATCGACCAATAGCCGAGATGAAAGTAGAGAAAGATTAAGAGAAGGAAGCACTGAACACAAACGATTTGATTCAAATCGTCCATAGTAAGTACAGAGAAAAATTGAAAAAAATGCTAATTTAATTTTTCCACACTACTTTGGAAATTATTAATTGGCAAAGAAATAAAAAAAAAAATTGTAATTAAAAAAAAACTAGTTTAAAAATAAACACTTAAAAAAAATTTAATTTCTAAATGGTAAAGAATTAAAATTTAATTAGTAATTATGTTTCCAAATTTAGAAATAATAGCAAAATGCAATCTCTGTAGAAACATTAAAAAATCATCATATATATATATTTCAGCTACGATCGAGAACGTGAATACGATGACGATTATTATTATGAACGTCGCCGGGGAGATTATGATCGTCCTTATAATTCACGTGAAGATTTAGATCGGCGAGACGGTTCTTTTCGCGATGAAGATCGTAGACACGCAAGTCGAGATGATCTCGATCGTCATGGACGTGAGGAATCTGATAGAAGAATGAGACCAAAAGGTGATACAGAGGAACGTGATTCAAGAAGAAGAATTGAAGATCATCGACGTGAACGTGATGATTTAAGACGTAGAGATCGACAGGGAAGGGATTATGAGCCAAGATATACAAGAGGTGAAAGAGATTTTTCTGATAGACGAAGAGACGATAGAAGACCAAGATTTGATTCATCGAGAAAATTTGATGATTATGATCCAAGAGATGCCTACAGACGGGATTATTATGATGATCCTTACAATAGAACGTATGTATTTTATTATTTATTAAAAAAAAGAACTCTTTCTTTATTTTTAATGTATTTTAACAATTTTTAATAATTAATATTTTAGTTCACGACCATCGAGCAGATCTTCCTACAATGACAGAGATCGAGAATACTACATGCGATCAAGAGATCCATATTATAGTTACAATGGTAATTTTGATTTTAATAAAAAATATTTTGAAATTTCTAAGTTATTAAATTTTGGCATTCTTTGTTTTTGTTAATTTTCTAATTTATTTTTTGTTGGAAAATTTTTTTTAAGTACAATTAATATAAATTGAGGATGAATTTTCAGGTTATGGAGCGGGCTATGATTATGGATCAAATTATAATAATAATTACTATCTTTATTTGGAAAATTTGCGTCGCACTAATCCAACAGCTTATATGGAATGGTATAACAAATATTATGCGAGTCAACGACAGCCACAGCATCCACCCAGTATCAGTACCAATTATCCAGAGGATAGAGCCAGTGTTCACTCAGGACGCAGTTCATGCGATGATAGGTCAGTAAAAAAAAAAAACCCCCCGATTTTTTTTTTAAATTCAAAATTCTTTTCAATTTTTTACGAAAAAAATATAATTATTATTCTGTACTTAATAATATAATTATTATATACATATGATAATTAAATTATTAATTTAGTAATTAAATTTTAAATTTTTCAATAATTAGTTTCTTGATAATTAATTTTTTTGATTACTTGATAATTTTTCAGTGAAAATAAATTTAATTCACTTAAATATTAATTTTAATATTAAATAATAGATTTTTCACGAAATCAAGCATTTACTTTCAAACGCCAAATAAATCATTGTACGTGCCGTGTTTTGGATGTTCCGGATGGGCGAAAAGTCCCTTAAGAAGACGATTATTTCGCAATTTAAATAGGTGAAAAAGCCAAGTAGTTGAATTTGAAGAAGTAAAATTTTTTTCCCATGTAGAAACGCTAGAGATTTTAGTCTAAAAATGCTAGGAAGGCTTTTTTTGAAACTTAAGAAAAATAAATCACGAAAATTCGGTATTCTCTACTTTTTGCAAACAAATGTATGCTCGTTACATAGAAATTTATTTACCTGTTTAATTTATTTTGTTTTCTTTTTTTTTTTTACTTTAGAACAACTAGTGAAAAACGTAATTTAGGCGAAATAACGACACTTGATGATTCTGTTATTGCTACATCACGTATGACACCAACTAAATTTTCTACTGCTCATGTGAAAGGTATTTTTTCTTCTATTTTTAAAAATAGAATTTTTTCTTGAATTAATTAAAATAAAATTTTTTCTCAATTTTAGGCTCATTTTCAATCGGATGTTTAGTTCATGTGCATCCAGCATATCCAGCTGATGGAGAACGGGCAAAATTGGATATTTTCAGAATTGATAATCTTTTGCAAAATGATCCTGTTGCTCGTGAACTTCGAACTTATCCTGGGCCATTAATTAAGCAAGTGTAATTAACATTTAAACATTTAAGCATGCGTATTTATAGAAAAAATTTGGAATAATCTTTATTAAAATTCAAAATAATTAATCTATTAACAATAATCTTTAATAATAAATTTTCTACTTAATTAATAATTATTTTAAACAATTTTTTGTTATTTAATTTGTATTAAAATAATTTGCGCATGTTTAAGTAAACTAATTTTAATAATAAATAAATAAATTTTTGTTTTTAATTACAGAGGTGTGACACATAAAAAGACCATCATTGAATATTGTGAAAATAAAATAAAAAAAGCAGCGATTAATAATGATATGATTGATCGGGCTTCCTATATTCTTCTATACGAACTTATGATTATGCTCATTCAACAAAATGGAGTAAGTTATTTTCTATTATTTATGATTTAAAAAAAATATTTCACATTTTTTAAATTAATTCCTTTTCTTTTAGAATGTTGTCGGAGTTGATATTGCAGCGCTTTTGCTAAGAAATAAAGATGCCTATCCTTATAATAAAAATCATCGTGAACCAATGAGACGTGAATCGACAATATCGCAAAGATCTGCCGGTTCTGGGGAAGATGGAAATGTACGCGATACATCAACGCCTCTTGATAAGGAAGACAATTTAAAACAACGAAAAACAATAAATCAAATGACGGATGAATTTCGAAATACTTTACTGTACGGCCTCGTACAAGAAGCTTTAGGTACATTTTTAAATTTTACTATTTTTTATATTGAAAATTTGTAATTATTTAAATATTTTAATACCTATTTATTTTTTTACAATTTTTAAAAATAATTTATTAATATTTGAATATAATTAATTTATTAATTTCAAATTTTTTATAAACCAATGAAATGTTTTAATTACATTTTCCATTTTTTAAAAAAATAGAATACGCGATGGATGAGGGACTTTGGGGACACGCTCTTTTCCTCGCAAGCAAATTAGATAAACGAACTCATGCCTCAGTTATGACTCGTTTCGCTAACAGTTTACCATCCAACGATCCTCTCCAAACTTTATATCAACTTCATTCTGGTCGAGTGCCAGCAAGCGTCACTGTAAGTTTTTAACTAATAATTTCATTTTGAAACGAAGATGAAAAAAATAATCTAGAAATTAAATTATTGAAAGTCAGGGGAAATTATAATGAAATTTTTGTGATAGCCCTGTTATAAAAATGAATAAAATTCAATTTTAAAGAATATTTTTTGTTAATTTTTTGTTAATTTTTTTTTAATTTTTTTTTTTAGTGTGTGGCAGATGCAAGTTGGGACGATTGGCGACCTCATTTGGCAATGATAATTTCAAATACATCACAAAATCCCGAAGTTAATCATCGATCGATAACAATTCTTGGCGATACACTTGCGGCAAGAGGCGATATAACAGCAGCACATTTTTGCTATATTCTAGCTCAAAGTGATTTTGGACCTTACGGCACAAATGGCGTGAAATTAGTTCTCATTGGATCAAATCATAATAAACCCTATTCTGAATTTATAAATAATGATGCAATAATGCTTACCGAAATTTATGAATACGCACGTAATTTAAGTGAGCCAGGTTTTACAATTGTTGATTTGCAAAATTTCAAATTTCATTTGGCATTAAAAATGATTGATTATGGTTTAATTGAAAAAGCTTTACTTTATATTGAACAAATTGCCGTTAATATTGCCAATGAACCGATAAAATATAAAAAATCATTTATCAATGAAATTTATAATCTTGGCAATCGTATCAAATTCCATGATCCAATTTGCAAGGACTCTGTTGAGGATGTTGAAAATCTTGTTTGGCTTAATAAACTCGAGGAAATTGTCAACAAGTATCAGGTATTTAAAAATTTTTTCTTTTGATTATTTATCAAAATATAAATTATTAGTTATGAATGGATGAATTAATAAAATATTGTAAATTTTTATTAATTTAATTTGAAAAAATTTCCAGAGTGGAGAAATTGTCCAAGAAACTGGTTACGTTACACAAGCGACAACAGAATTGCATGGTACAAATCAGAATCATTATGATGCTCATCAGCAACATTGGAATCAACAACAAATTCAAACGGATTATAATGAGGCAACGAATTCAATGATGGAAATTCCAGTAGCAGATCAACAACAGCAACAACATTCTGACTGGCAGGCTCCACATTCGAATATTCAAGAACCATACAGTTTAACGGAACACACTGATCAATATTCTGGAACGAATCTTGATTCTTCTCATTATCCACAACAACAGGATTATTGGAATCAACAACAAAATTATAATCAACAGGAATATGCAGCTCATGATTGGCAACAGTCTCCTCAATATTCATCGGATCAGACTGAAGTTGATAATAATCAACAACAGCAGCAGCAGCAGCCACAGGGAAATTGGGGTTATGAGGTAAAGTGGAATATTTAATTTACTTTTTCATTACTATAATTTATAATATTTAATAATCGAAATTAATTATATTTTCTACTAGGCTTTTGACTTAACATTTTTAAGTATGATTTTTTTACTCAATTATAATTATTACTTTTATTTACTCAATTATTATTTATACTTTTTCTTTTTATTCTTTTTGCCTCTGATTTTTTTAAATTCTTTTTTAAATCATCTTAATTTTTATTCACTAATGATTTTCCCAAAATTCAGTATTTATAAGGTACGAAGTTAAAGTTTAGGACATTTAAAAACGTAAAGAAATTTTGAAGCAACTTCAGTTATTAATTTCAATTTTTGAATGTTTTAAAATTCTATTATTCAGTTAAATTCGTTCATTACGTTTTAAAATTTTTTTTTTTTAAATACAAATTTTAATCAGTTTTTAGTTTAATAATAATAAAAACCTAATAGATAATAAAAATTTTAGTTTTATATAAACAAATTTTACTTTCATAATAAATTACAAAAAATAATTTATTTTAAATTTTGAAAATAAAAAAAAAATATTCCATTTCGCTATTAAATAAAAATTGTTTTTTTTTTTCAATTATTTTTGTGACGATTTAAAATAATGATAAAATAAAAAAAAAAGTTTAAACATTTGTAATATCGTCCTATTTCTTTAATGCTGTCTGGACAGTCGGAAAAGGATGAAAAATCAACAACGCAGGAAGTAAGTATTGAAACACTTACTTCGAATAGTTATCCCGAACACTTGGAAATCTTTGGTGAACAATCGCTACGACGTCGACGATTAATTAATACAACAGAAAATGAATTTAAAAATTCAATTAATTTGGATAATAAAATTCATGTCGCTAATAATAATAATAATAATAATAATAAATCATCATCGCAAAAATTTGAAAAATCACCAAAATTAATAAAATATCCAAAAATAATGTCCTCATATCCACGATTATTGTCGAGTAATAAAATTCATCCTCAACAATTGACAAAAGTAAAAAAAATCACACCCAATTTATCGAGACCACCATTAGCGCATGCGCCAATATTTGAAAAATGTAATGTTAAAAAAAACAAATTATTGTCATCGAGAGAAAATAATGATGATGAATTTAATAATATTCAATTGAATAAAAAAATAACAACTGATTTAGATATTCAATTAAAACGTCTTAAATTCGAATCATTTTCAATGTCAAGTTCATCATCAGATAGCGAGAGACGTTTATCAATGGATAATAATATTGTTGGACAATCATTGATGCAATATTGCAATTTTGATGAGAAAAAAATAGTCAAAGTTGCACCGCATATTCGTCGTAAAGATGTTATTTGCGATACTGTTGATGCATGGAGTCGTGGTAGTGAAGCACAAATTAATACCAATTTATCGCGAAGTAAACCACTTATTTTTGGTGGTACTTATCCCATTGATTTTCCTTTAAGGGGAAGAAATTCACATAATAGAAGTACAATTTATACGCCGAAAACATTTCAAATTGATGCCCCAGCACATTATGAATCGGAAGAACTTTAAATTTACATATTCAACGCATTTTTGTTCTCAAATTATTGTTTTATAAAAATAAACTGCAATTTATTTTTCTTTTTATAATTTACGAGGCGCTACAATTGTTTTCAATTGACAATTTTAAATTAATCTATTTTATTGAATTTTAATTAACTTATTATTTTTTAGTTTTTCAATTTTAATTAACTGAAATTATTTAATTCAATTGACAAAAAAAAGAAAAAAAAATCTTTAAATTGGAAAATTTAATCGTTTACGATTTATTTTTCTCTATTTTGTTTTCATTGACTTTTAACGGTTTGTTTTTAATTTGTAATTTTAGATTATTATAATTTAATTCTTTTTTTAAGTAATATTAAAAAAGAAAATTAGAAACTAAACAATTGACGAGCCTTTCATTTTATAAAAATAGATTGCAATTCTTCTCTATTAAAAAAAAATAAAAAGAAATGTTATTAAAGCGCTATTTTTTTTGTACATATTTAAAGGAATTAGAAATTAAACGACTTTGAATGAAAATATTTCATTGTTTATACAAGAATTTACAGTTTTTATCCATCTTCGAGTTACTGTCATACTTTTACAAATATTTTTAATTTTAATTGTTGATATATAAATATATAATACGACAACAATGATATAATTATATGATATCAATAAAAAGTATATAATACCAGAAAAATGACTTTCAATTATCGACAAAAAAAAAAAAAAAAAAGACGTATTTGCTTGTAAGTTCCGGTAAAAATCCCCGTGTGTTTTATTTCTGTTTGTTTTTTTTCTGATTATGAATGTTCCGTTTGTAGATGAAATTGTAATAATGAAATAATAATAACAAATTGGAATTTTGAAAAAGAAACAAATTTATTACTAGATTGCATGCAAAGCTTGCTCATTGTTTTCTTCTCATTTCTTTAGGGAAACTATAAATTAATTTATAAAATTTAAATTTAAATTAAAATTTAATTTAAATTACAAAATTGTTAGATTTCTAAACAATTGAATTTATTTATAATATGAATGTAAAGGCGATTTTAAGTGAATCTGCACTGACGAATTTTTTCTTTTTTTTTCTAATTATAGCAACAACCGCAAATTTCATTGGGTCCATCGGCGAGCAAACAATACGATCCTCTGGAGGAATTAGACGCTCTAGATGCACCGAAACAAGTGGCAAAAGTATCATCAGCCGATAGTAAAAAACCAACAGAAAAATCGTCAGACAAAAAAAATTCTAATACAGGAAGCTCTTGGTTTGGTGGACTTTTCAGTAAACTTGCACCAAAACCAAAAAATCAAATGATTCTACCTGACGACAATAATCCATCGGTAAGGAACCTTTTTTTTTTTTTAAATTTTTAATTCACAATTCTTTTCGAAGAAACTGAGAAATCAGTTTTTTTTTGTCACTAAGGGCAAGGGAAGATACTTTTGGTAGCTGGCAATAATAATCGTAAGTTATTGAATGCAAACAAGAATTTTTTTTGACAATTTTTAATAATTTTTTTTATATATTTTTTATTTTTAAAAAAATATTTTTCAAAAATTTGTTTTTTTACTAACAAATTGCTTATTTAGCGTAAAATAACATTTTTAGTAACAATTTTTTTCAAATATTTGTCCCTTGTATTCTAAATAATTTTCCAAATCACAGAAAATATATAGAATACATATTTTACGATTTTATTATCTAATTTAATTAATTAATTTTGCCCGCAATTATGTTTAATTTCTTTTTGATTTTTATTTTAAAGAAAATAAAGACAAAAAAAAAAAAGAAAAGAATTATTTAATAACTTCTTTTTTTTTGATCAATTTCACAAATTTTGAAATGAAATAATTTTTTATTTTCTGTAATTTCAGATTGTTTGGGATTCAGTGGCTGGTAAATGGATGAATAAAGAGGACGGCGAAGACAGTGTCAGTGGTGGTATCGTTGCACCACCACCTAAAGCAAGTGATTTAGGATTCAAACAATTACCACCCGAACGAAATTTACCACAACAACAACAACAACATTTAATACCACCAAATAGTCAAAATGATGAATCGATGGCTGTGAATAGTTCGAAATTGATTACTGGTAGCAATGTATACAAATTACAAAAAGGTCGAAGTATGCGAGCTAATTATATCGATGTCATGAATCCAAATGGAGGGAAAAGTTCGGGATTATCGTCAAATTTACCAACACCAGCAAATTCACCAATGGCACCAATTGCATCTTCATCGCCTCAAGTTTTTGTTCCCGCTCCTGGTTAGTCAAATTTTTTTATTACTATATTGTGGAATTATTTTGGTTACGAAATTAATAAAATAAATTTAATTTTTTAATTGTTTAACAATATTTAATATTGTTTAAAGTAGAATATTTATTAACTAGTGAAATTTAATTAAAATTAAAAAAAATTGACTAAAACAAATTTTTTTTTACGACTTTATAATCAATCCAAGGCCTGTAATTATATATTAAGAAATGTTCTGAATTTTTTTTTTCCAGTTAACGATCCTAACGCTCCTATGGACTTTTTATCTTCATCGGCGATTCCGACGCAACAAACTGCCGAAAATCCTCCACAAGAGGTGAGTTTTTTTTTCTAATTGAAATTAATTAATTATATATTTTTAAATTTTTATCATTATCAGCTCTCTCTCTCTCATCATTTTATTCACACATTAAAACAGAACATTATGTAATTAGGGTGTTTACTATAAAATTCAAAAAATAATCAGAAATAATCTAGAAATTTTATTGATTTATATATTATTCTCATATTAGTAATTATAAAATTAATTAATTGTTGTAAATAAGTTACAGTTAAAAATCTCTTCTCTGTAAAAAAAGTTACTTTATTGTAACTTTATTGTTTTAGAAAAAATCGAGAAAAAAAAATGAAAATAGTCCATCGAAAATATGTAGTAGACACCCTGTTATATTACAAATCGAGAAAATCTATAAAGACACGAATATTTTTCAAAAAATTTCTGTGTACCCTCGCGACTGTAGTTCTTTTTGCAGTAAGCTTCATTTTTTTTTATCCTTTGATATCGTTACTTTGGAAAATGTATAGTTCAAAAAATTTGTTTTTTTCTTTTTTCACTGTCTCTGTTTCGATTTATTGTTTGTGGAAAAAAATTCAATTTTTTATTTCTAATATTTATTGTGCAATGTTATCTCGATTCTTGCTCAATTCAAGATGCTTTAAATGGTTTTTCTTTTTTATTTTCCTACAAATTCATTAGAAAAAAAAGAAAGAAAAATAGTTTTTGCTATATCACTTTTAATTTTTCTCATTTCTTAATTGAAACGGAATTCTATTTGGTGGAAATTCTGCTTTTGAGAAATTTTTCTATTTCAAAAAAAAAACAAATTTCACGAACAAAAAGAAAAATGAAAGCAATGTATCGAATATTTATTGTTATTATTTACAATCCTTTTTTTTGGAAATTTTGTTTTCTTAACAAAAATTATTATTATAATAATAATTTATTTTCATTATTATTATTATTATTATTTTTAGGTAGGAATTTAATATTTGATATGAATTAACATTTTTTTTAATAATTAATTTAACTTTAGTGAATGTTTGATTTAGAATGTTTTAACATCTAATAAGTTAATAAGTTAATTAGTTAATTAAAACGAATGTTTTAATTTTCATTTAAAAACGAAATTTTTTATTGAAAAACTAATTTTTTTTTTTCTAATAATTTATCTAATTAATAAGAACATAATGTGACTTCCGTTTGTTTTCTTCTTGCAAGCAGTCGGGGAAGCAGAATGATGTAGCCAAATAACAAAAAAGTTTCCAATTGTAAGAATATTTCTATTTAATTTCATATACCTATTTGTATATTTATATATATATTTATTGCTTTCTTTTCCTTTATTGGAGGCACTTTTTAGTCTCTATTCAATGCTTTCAATTAATTGCAATTGTTTGAGTAATAGAAATAATTCTAAAAATCATCATAATTCTGTAAAAAATATTATTTTATATTTTTGGTTCAAGTTTTTTTTACACTATTTTTTAAGAAATATTTTTCTACTCTTTTATAGTAGAATTCTTTTTTTTTTTCCTAAAAGATTTTTTTTTAATGGAAACGTTTTTTTTACTCTTTTAGCGAAATATTCGTTTTTTTTTGCTATGTTTTTTTTCACCATTTTTAGTAGAAAAATTATTGCATTATATTTTTTTGCATATGTGTTTTATTTTGCCCCATTTTAAAATGATATTTCCCTATGGCATGAAGGATATGAAATGACTTTTTAATTATTTATAATATATGTTGGCATTTTACGGTTTCATTAAAACTATGGTGTGCAGTGTCATTAATTTCTGCTTTTTTGTTTCTGTTTGCTTTAGCACTTTTTTTTTTAATTTATTGTATAAATTTAACACTCTAATTGCGTTTAACAAAATGCAAGAACGACTTGATGTTTTATAAAATATCAAAAATAAACCTTTGCATGAAATTTACACGATAAGATAAAAATACTTGAAAAAAAAACACATTAGGTTGTTAAAGAAAACTTGGAGCTCCTGCAATATCGATTTTTATTTTCTCTCTTTTTTTTTATTTACATTAATAAATTTTAAATTTTTTGTTAAATAAATAAATAAAATAAATTAATAATAATTCTATTTTTTTTTTTCTTTGCATAAAAGAAATTTTATTTATTTTTATCTTTTATTTAATTAGAAAAATTATAGTAATTGATATTGTGTGCTCCTTGGGTGAAATATTATATAATTTATTATTAGATATAAAAATAGCTTTTTTTTTTTTTGGTGAAAATTTGTTTGTGAGAGAACATTGTTGTTTTGTATTATGGAATTTAGCTCTCTCGCTGGAGCTCAACCAGCTCATTATCACGAGAAGTGCAAAGCTACACAATGAGAGATCCGCGCCTCCTTCAACGGGACAAGGTAAACCATTAAAATTTAGTGTCCTTAACTTTGTAAAAAGATTAGTTTGTCCTCTAATATACATAAATAATACGAGTTGTCTGACGAAAAGAAGAAAAGACGTCGGAAATAAAATAATCCTCATAGAATAATTACAACATTTTTTTTTTATAGTAAAATTTAAATTCTAAAAAAATAACAAGAATGTAAATAAAAAAATTAATGATAATAAAAACTATATTTTCGAAAATAGTTGAAATTAAAATTCAAAGTTTATTCTCCTGTTTGCTATGTAATTAATTATGAAAAATACTTTCAAAAAATTGTAATTTTTACATTTTTCTTTTTTTTTATTAAAAACGAAAGTTTTTAATATTTCTTAGCTTTTGTCTCCTCTTTTTTTTAACAACCGCACGGTTCTATGAAAGGAGGATTATAGTGTTCTTTTAAATATATTAAATTTTAAATTCAAGACATTAATTAACTAAAAAAAAAAAAAAAAAGTGCTCCCTTATATTACCCAGATTTAGGAAAATGCTTCCATTCTCTCTCTCTATGGAATTTTACATTTTCTACTAAAAACAGAAATAAAAATAGACCAAGGTAAAAGCGCGATGAATAATTATATTTAAATATAATTTGACTTTATAATACTATTTTTTTTCACTTTCTTCATATCTATACAATTGCTTTATTATTTATTTTATTCTTTTCTGCAATAACTCATTATACTTGCTTTTCTTCTTGTCATTAATACATCTCATTTATTTTTTTTAAGACAAAATTATTATTCTTCACTGAATAAACAAAAAGATTAATTTTTTTCATTCTTTGTTTAATCAATGAAAAATAATTTCAATAATTTTTATTTCATTTTATGTTTAATCAGTGAAAAATAATTTTAATAATTTTTTTTTCATTTCTTGAAAATTAAAATAATTTTCATGTATTTAATTAGAATTTTAATTAATATTTAATTAACATTTTAATAAATTTAATATAATTATTAATTAACTGAATTGTAATAATTTACATAATATTCTGAATTAATAAAATGTTAATTAAATTTCTAATTTTATTAATTTAGAACTTTTAGTTAATATTTATTATTCTAAATTTTTCAGGGACCAATGATGTTTAATCCTATGGATTTGAAGGATCGTTCTCAAAAATCTGCACATCGTAATCGATATCCACCTCGATAGGAAAAAAAAACAAATTTCTTCCCTCCCCCCAGGAAATCGACTAATTCATAAAATAATTTAATGTAGAAAACAGCGACGAGAGAACTTTATATAGAATATTGATTTAGAAAAAAAAAATTGTTTCCACTCACGATAAAGATTTTTTTTTTACATAAAAAAAAATCTATACAACGATTATTAAGGAAAAAAAAATAATATTATCGAAAAATTGTAGACCGAATGTCTTTTTGAATATGTCTATGCCTTTTTTGTGAGAGAAATAAGACAATTTTGGATAGATATGTATTTAATTAATTCCATTGAATATTGAAATTTGTAAATTCTCAATTTTTCGAATCTTACAAAAAAAGAATCAGTGCAATCAATTCAAAAGTCATATTTCTATCTACAATTTTATTCTAGGATTGTTGATATATAATTTCATAACATATATATATATAGATATATTATATTATATTACATTGTAATAACACGTTTGACTTGAATCCTTCCAAATAAGTCTGAAGAAAAGAAAGATAAAAAAAATTTTTCTAAATCTTTATTAATTATTAATTTTTATAAAGAAATTTTCTTAAATGAATGAATTTCCAAATTTCTATAGATAAATTTTTGTTAAATAAAACATAGTCTTTAAAAATGATAAACAAGTAAAAATAATTTATTAGTGTAGAAAAAATTTTCTTTAATTTTTTTTTCGTTTCTTTTTTAATTTTTTTTTTATCATTCTTTTCAGTCTTATTCGTCAAATGGAAGTGAAAAATGTGACGTGTGTTAAAAGAAAAATTGTTACGCCGACTGATTTAGCTGCTGGACAATTTACCAGTCGGAAAAAAAAAATTGAAAATCGATGAGGCGACGATTGAAAAATGCAAAAAAAAAAAAATGTATTACATTAGGTATTTTTTTTTTGTTATCTTTCCATTAATCAAATATCATTGAAAAAGAATTTATTTAATTCTGCAGATTACTTGATTATTATCAACATTTATTTGTGTCAATTAATTTAAATATTTGTTTTAAATATATAAAAATTATTATAGTTCGAATACAATTTTTTCGACTTAAATAAAAAAAAAAAAAATAATTTGGTTCAAATAAATTATTTTTAATAATAATCAATTAATCGATTGAGTGAAATATATATTTTTTTTCATTGCATTCTTTGTAGAGATGCATTCCAGTAATGCTAGAATTTTTTTTCACTGGTACTGATGATTAGAATAATGATAATTGATGATGAAATATTATAATACGAGAATTTAATAACGCGCAAGTTAATAATGGCCTCGATGCGTGATTAAAACATAAAATAAAGTCTGATTTTATACGATGACCAGAACAATATCGACGATAAATAATCGTTTAATGAGAAAAAAAAAAAAAAGTGTTTGTAATGTGTAAAAGTTCTTTTCTTTTCTTCATCGTTGCGCGATGGTTACCGAATTGATTATGAAATGAAACGTCAGGTACAATATTCTTCAGTATCGAGATTTTTTGTTCCCCTTTAATTTTTTTTTTTAAAAAACATATTCTGCATTACAAATTATTATATTGCATTATTTTTTCGATAATCCATCGTTGTAAGGAAAGTTTGTATATTAGAAAATCTTTACAAAAAAGTGCGAAAAATCGAAGTGATTTTTCTTTTTCTTTTTTTTTGACAGAATTCGTCAATTATTGGCAAAAAAAATGTTTTTTGTCTTTCTCGTTAATAATTACTGAATTTGAATAGTAGAACAAATTAACAAATTTTCGAGAAACTGCCAATTTTTCGTCTTTCGAAAAAAAAAATCAATTTTTTTTGTCAATTTATTGTAAATTGCTTGTTTATATATTATATAGATATTTTAAAAGAAAGCAATTATTGTAATTAAAAAATTCAATGTTAAATGTGATGAATAACATATGGAGTATTTATTAAAGATAAAAAAAAAAAAAATCTATCACATCTCAATATTTTACATTTTATCACATATTTTTTAATTATTTTTAAAACTAATATTTTCTGTTTTTGTGTTATTGTCAAGTGTCACAATTTTTTTTTTGACATTTATTTTTGTCCTATTTAAATGCTTTTATAAATTATCAATTGGACTCCATGTATTATTCAACTATAATAATAATTAAAAAAAATTCTGTGAACGTAGATTTATTATTTCTTTTTTTTTTTGAAATTTGTTATGTTAATAATATGGTGTGTTGTAAATAATAAATAGAAGCACGCTGCGGTTTGATGTATAAGAAATTTGCTTGGAATAATAAAAAAAGACAAGTTAGATAGAAATTTTGTAGAGTATGCTTTAAAAAATATTTGGAGAAAATAAAAAAAAAGATTGATGAGTCATTTTAATAATAATAATAATTATTATAATAATATACGATTTGATAAGATCCATGATGTTAATGTTGATACTATAATGGGTGGGAAGTATTAAATGAATTGCATGTTATATATGCGAGGAAAATAGTTTATATTATGTAAATCATGTGAATCGGTTTCAGATGTAACATATATTGATTATAATTAAAATATTTGATCTTTATTCAAAGCATAAAGTTATGATGTATGTCTAAGGGTATCTGTAAGTGATAATTATAACTTTATTGTATATTATTAATCTGGTATGCATATTATAGTAATGATAATAATAATAAAATATTAAGAATCCATATCTCTTTTTATTTCCCCCACCTTTTTTTTTCATTTTAAAATCAATTTTCTTTTTTTTTTAAATTAATCGTCATTTGTTTTTAGACAAAGGAACATCTTCATAGAGCAAATTTTGCTTGCAGATTTTTTTTCTAATAAAACGTCATTTATCAGTTTGGTGTAAAATTTCTTTATAGAGAAAAAAGAAGAAGAAGAAAAAAAAAAGGAAGAAATGCCTAGTCACAAATTGCAAAAGAAGCAAATGCAACAGCAGAGAGTATTGAAAAAAAATTTCAAAGATGATCTTCTCAAATGGATTTGTGAAAAACATGCCACCAACAGTCCTCTGGATAGGGAAATTTTGAAAGAAAAAGCCCAGCAACTTTCTCAAACACACGAGATTATCAGTAAATTAATTAAAAATTATTATTAATTAAAATAAAAATTTTCAAAAAGTGAATAAAAAATTAGTAATTTGTTTTCGCTTTTATATGAATAAATAAATAATTTTTTTTTTTCAGATTTCAAATGTTCGGAGCAGTGGATAACGAGATTTTTGAAAAAAAATGGATTTTCAACAACACTAACAACATGTACAGGTCCATATTTCAAAGATTATCGTCTCTGGATCGATTTAATGAGATCAACATTGACACAATATAAATATAAAGATATTTTTAACGTTGACGAATTAACAATGTATTCAGACGTATGTCCATTAAAAATTGACACAAATTCACAAAATGACAATAATGAAAATATAATAAATGCAACAAATCTTATTTCAATTCTTCTCTGTTGCAATTCATCAGGAACTGATAAATTACCACCATTAATAATTGGCCCCGAAAAATGTAATATCACTCGCAATGATTGTAAATATTATTACAATGAAAATTCATCAATAAATGATGAAATATTCATTGAATGGATTATTTATTTAAATGAAATAATGGAACAAAAAAATCGACAAATACTTTTACTATTGCATCGTCATAGAATAAGTGCAATTGGAAATAGAAAATTGTCTAATGTGAAATTAATTTTTTTTCCCAATAATTTTCCATCACATTTACGTCCATTGAGACGTGATGTTTTTCATTCGACAAAAATGAATTATCGATTGATGTACGCTGAGAAAATATTTCAAGATGACGCCAAATGGGAATTAAATGAAATGATAATTGCTATTATTAAATCATGGAATCAAATATCAAGGGAATTAATAATCACAAGTTTTCAACGTACAACATTTAGATCGGATGATAAAATTTTGGAAATAATTAATGACAATTGGGAGAAATTAAATACGGGTGTAAGTTTTAAAAAACTTGTTACATTTGATGATCATTTATCAGATCAATTAAATTCAATTAATGATATTAAACAATTGAATAATAATGTGAAACAAAAATATAATTTGAGAACATCAAATCATGAAGTATTTGAAATTGATGAAGATTTATCAAAATTGAAGAATGAATCGTCAAAAATTGAAAATACAACTAATATTATTGAAAATGATTTGGAAAATAATTTACAAGAAATTAATTCAATGAATTTAAAAACAAATGAAATTATTTCAAATAATTTGGAGGAAAATATTACAAGAGATTTAGAAAAATATCCCTTAGATTTGTCGGAAAATATTGAGGAAAATATTTCAAAAAATTCTGAATTAATTATTCCAATAGACACAGAAAATATTTCCAAAGAAAGTAAAGAACAATTTTCGGAAAATTTACAAAGAAATTCTTCAAAAGATTTGGAAATTAATTTGGAAGAGACGAATATTTTGCAAAAAAATTTAATAACAAATGTTCCCGTTGATTCGATGGAAGAAGATTCGCCAATAAATTTGAAAGAGAATATTTCGAAGAATTTAGAAGAAAATATTCCAAAAAATTTACAGGAGAATAATTTAGAAACTAACGAAGAGAATAATAATGATTTATGGAAAATTTTAGAACATGACAACAATGAATTATGTTTTTTGGAAAAAATTCCAAATTTACCTTCAGAAGAATTGAAAATAAATAAAAATACGTTTACTATTATTTTGGAAACAACAATAAATTCACCACAGGAAATTAAGGAATCAATCTCTCGTTGTGAAATGTCAGGTATAATTTATAGTTCATTTTGAAAATATTTTTTCTAATTTTCAAATTCAATATTAAATTTTTTATTTATTTCACACTTCTTATATATTTTTTTTTTCGTTTTAGACGATAATAAGAAGAATTGTCAGCAGACAGAAGAAGAATTTGTCGTCAATATTAATGAGAAGAGCAATAAACCTTTGACATTGGAAAAAAGAAATCATTCTCCCCTTCACGATGAAGATGAACCGCCGGGTAAAATTCAAAAGACAGAAACTCACTGGTGCGATAAATATGAGAATAGTTATGTTTTTGGTTCTAATTCATTTCCTGGGCCATCATCATCATCATTATCACACAATGATTATAATCAAAATTTGGAAAATCATGTTGGTACGCAAACATTAATTTCTCAAGCTAAAAATATTGAATTAATAAATTTCAAAGAAAAAGAAGAGACAAAGGAAAAAAGTTCCGGTCCAGGTCATATTTTTACAAAAAGCGGTACTCGCTCGCCTAAGAATTAATTTAACAATGAAAAGAGAGCAAAAAATAAGTTTTCCAACTTGAATTTTTCATTTCAAAAAGAGAGATATTTTGAAAAAATATAAAAACTTCTTTTTTTTTTTTTTTTGTTCTATTAAACAGATATATTGGAAACAAAGTATTAATATCCTTATATAGGCTCTTAAGATTAATATCTGTAATAAAATAAATCAAATTTCATCATTTACAATAAATAATGAAGTGTAAAGAAAAGATAAAGAAAATTTTATTTTTTCAATAAATTTACGAAATAAAAAAAAAATATATATATTTTATATTAAATCAAGCGTTGACCGAAATTACGTTGATGACTTGGAAGTCGCGACGCCTGACAGACGCCTTGCATTTATCGTTGAATTAAATTAATAATACAAATATCCTGCGCACGTAATATCACTTGAATGCATAAAAAATATATATATACGTGCCCTGAAAAAAAACCACCCGGAAAAAAATATGTGGTTAACATAAGAAACTCCTGCCTTTTTTTCATAACATTTCTTTATAAAGCAGAGGGTGAAACGAAATTTTTTAAATATTTCAAGAAAATTCCAGTTGGACTCGAGAAAATTCAGATGAAATATTTCAAAAGTCATTATTTTTATCCGTTTATTTTTTTTTTAATTCGAACCCTGACACCGTTTATTATAAAAATTAAAACCATTTTGCTTGTTTAATTTTATTAATTTAAAAAAAAAATTTTTATTCAAAAAAATATACCTTTACTATAATGATAGTAAAATTAGGTAATATTTTAAAAATACTGGAATAAATTATAAAAAAAAAAAATTTATAATCGCTTCCTGGGAAATATTTTCAATTTTTTCAAGTCTGTTTCACTTCAATAAAAAATACAAAAAAAAAAAATAATCAATTTTATTTAGTTATTTTTTATAATTTTTCAGAGAAAATTGAATCGAGAAGAAAATTAATATGAAAATTGCATCCTCCAGGCATTTCACATTGTGAGGAAAATATTCTCTCTCTCTCACTCTCTCAGTAATGTTTTTATTTAGACTGTTTTTCTTGTTCAATAATTCATCCCTTCTGACATAGAGTAATACTCAAGCGTTCCTGTTCATGTGAAAGGCTGACACGCGAATGCACGTCTCTTATTATTATTTTTTTTTTTTTCGTTTATTTATCCTTTTTACTGTGTAGAAACAACAACCACGGAATAAGACATAAGTTTTTAGACGCCAATAATTATTATTATTATTGTCATTCTTGAAAGAAATGAATTTAATTTGTAATGAAAAAGGAACAATTTTTGGTGAGTTTTTTTTTCTTTTTTCTAATTAAAAAAAATTTTTTTCATAAATTTATTAAAAATTACCTTTTTTTTTTATTCAACACATAAATTTTAATTTCGAAAATTTTGTTTGCATTTTACCACTGATATAAAATTAAAATTCTTGTCTGAAATTTACTTTAACTAAATTTTTATTTGAATAAAAAAAAAATGTATTTTGAAACAATAATTTATTTAGCTTTGAGATTTTTTTTCCGAGTAACTTAAAAATAAAAAAAAACAAAAACGAAAATATATTTACAATAATTGTAAATTCTTTTATAGAAATTCAAATCTATTTTTCCGCCAATTTTGCAATTTTCTCAACGTAACCGTCTTCGTACACCTGATGATCATTACCAACTCTCCCTTGTTATTTATTCCCATCACTTATTTTTTTTCCGATAAAGTTTTTTTTTATTATTATTATTATTTTATTGTTATTATTATTATTATTATTATTATTATTATTATTATTATTTTATTGTTATTATTTTTATTATTTAAAATTATTTGTGTTTAGATAACGAAAATGGAGCTTGAAATAGAATTTTTATCAACGGGAATTTTTCACTATAATCAGATTGGCCTTTGGACGAAGAGGCAAGTTAATGATAAATTCTATGGACCCTATTCGTCCCTCTTTGAAGTTGTGTCACCCATTTTTTACATAATCAGAGTTCTTGGATTGGCACCCTATCGATTCTGTGAAAATCGTCTCGTTTCATCGAATGCTCATTTATTTTTTTCATTCTCCGCAATTTTCATTAATACTTACGTCACTATCATGACTTTTCTTCGATTTTTAAATGATGACGATAAGAAAATTGTCCTAACAACAACTGAACGAGGAAAGGAAAGTATTTTTTTTTTACTTCTTTACTTTATGCCAAAAAAAAATAATTTTTTTAAAATAATATAATAATAAAAATTATTATTTATTTTAAATAAATTTTTTTTTTTTCAAGAAAAAATATAATTTTTTTTTTTTCAATTTAGGTTGTCTCTAATTATTTTACAATGATGTTTGATTTGACAATGACAATAATGACGCGAAATCAATTTGTAATTATTTGGAATATAATTCAAGATTTTGATTATAAAACGAATAATTTGGGTTTTTTTCAAAATGAAAAGAAAACAAAATTTTACAGTTGGATCATATTAATTGGCAGTTTTCTCATTTGGTTGTATATCAATCAAACGGGAATGTATGCATTTATGGAGAATTTTGTACAAAATTTTAGTTATATGTACGGTTATATTGGAACTGGATTTTCTGTTTTTAAATTTTCCGGAATTGTGGCAATTTTGGGTCAAAGATTTAAACATTTAAATAAAATTACCAATGATTCTAGTTCAAGTGAATCTACTTGTGCGTCATCGTCAAAAGTCGATCAAAAGGTATTAAAAATTATTATTATTATTATTATTTACGAAATTAAAAAACAAAATTTTTTATTTTTTAATTAAATTTTTTTTTTTAATACAATTAAATCTTACTAAAGGTGTAATAAATAAATATATTTTTTTATAACGGAAATAAAATTCTTTTTTTTTGCAAAGGTATTGGAAAAGCTAAGAAGTGATTTAATGAAAGCGAGTGAAAAGCTAAATTCTTTGTACTATTGGTCGTTGTTACTTTGGCTGTTTAATTTAAGTTTTCATATAATCAGTGGTATATATTTTTTCATCCAATGGTTAAAGAGAGACGATGGAATTGTTGATTTAATAATTTATTGTTGTTTGGGTGGTTGGATAATTTCTTTTATTATACAACTTATATTATTGCATTACGCCTGTCATTTTACATGCTCAGAGGTATTTTTTTTTTTTTTTTTAAATTTTAATTAATTAAAAAATAATTTAATTATTTAAACTACATTTTTTCATTTTTCAGGCCAATCGAATGGGATATATTTTACTAAATTGGCGACGTTGGCAGTCATATCACGATCCAAAAAGAGTAATTTTTAAAAATATTCTTATTAAATTTTTTTATTAACTGTTATATTTTTTTTAATTCTTGTATAAATCTATTTTTCACGCTTTGTAAAATTATGTCTGACCAAAATTGATATTCACTACTTGCAATGATATAAAAAGTCTTATTGAATTTTACTAATTTAAAATCAGACATTGGATTATAATTTTTCGATTTTTTTTCGAAAATACGATCGATATTAAAAATTTCTGTTTAAAAAGTAAAATTTTTTTCCCGTTTTTTTTTTCAATTTTTACATATTTTTCTTTTCCGTTTTTTTCTTTATATCTTTATTTTCCTATACAACATATTTTATTCGCAATGGTAAAATCTGTTTCGGACTTGTTTTTTTTTTTTTTCTTATTGAATCGCAGGATTTCGAATCAACGATACATCTCATGAATTACAAATTGAACTTCTCAGCAGGCGGTTGTTGCTACGTGAATTTGCCACTGCTACGAAAAGTGAGTTTGAATTGTGTAATTTGGGGTCAAGTAATTTTTCAAAATCATCTGTTTTGCATTTAAAAATTCACATTCTGTAAGAAACAAATTAAATTTAAAAACAAATTATTATTATAAATAATTATAATTATTATACAAAATTATATTTATTATAAAAAATTATAATTGTTATAAAAAATTATAATTATTATAAAAAATTTTAATTATTATAAAAAATTATAATTGTTATAAAAAATTATAATTATTATAAAAAAAATTAGAATTATTTATTATAATTATAGTGAGAATCGTAAATTTTAGATAATGAAATGATTTTTTCCAGATTGCTGGTTTGTTGACAACTTATCTGATAATTTTACTTCAACTTCCTAATTAATATTATCATGGAAATTTGATTAAAAATTTTTTAATTGAATAAGTTTTAGGTTTTCTTTTAAAGAGTGAGGATTCTTATTAATTTTTTTCAAGAAATCATTACAACTTGTAAAATATAATTGTAACTAAATATTATTAACATAATTGTAACTAAATATTATTATTGTTGTTAATAATAACTCTATTATTATAAAAATTAATTTATCTATAATAATTGGTTTACTAATTATTACAATAATTAATTTATTATAATAATTAATTTATTACAATAATTAATTTATTATTTATTATAAATCTTGTAATTAGAAAAATAGTATTTAAAGTAGTATTTTAATATTTATTATTTAAAAATAAAAAAATATTTATAAAAATATTATAAATAATTTTGATATTATTATTTATTTACAAGAAAAATTAATTAGACTAATTATTATTATTTTTTTATTTAATTATTAGTTAAATTAAAATTTTAATTAATAATTAATAAAAAATAAATAAAAAAGGAAATTATTAAAAAAAAAAAAAAGTAGCTTGTTTTTCAAGCGCATTTGATTTATTGATTCGCAGAGGTAAATAACAATTGTTGACCAATGTTTATATGTGATTAAGAAGAGCTTTTAACAGTGTAATTTTCTCTTTTTATAATTTATCGATTCCAACATATGCAGTAAAATAGTATATAACTGCTCTTTCCATTAGACAGTCGACAACTAAATAGAAATTTTTAATTTTTAATTTTTAATTTTTAATGTTTAATTTTTAATAATATATTCAATGTTTAATGTTTTGCCAAATTTTTTCATCTGTTTGTGAAAAAACATTAAAATTATTAATAATGCCATAGGAACAAATAATGAACGACCATCAATGTTTATTTCAACAAACGTAAGTTTTTAATATTTCTTTCGAAAAAAATATTTTATTTAAGATTTTTTATTCAAATAAATAAATAATTATTAAAAACCTTTTTTATTTATAACAAAAAATACAGTCGTATAAAATTAATAATTTTTTTCAAAAATAATTTGTTATAAAATTATATAAATTTTATATATAATTTATTTTTTTCTAATCTAATTAATAAATAAACATTAAAATTTTTTTCATAATTTTTTATTCATAATTTTTATTTTTCGAAATTTTATTAAGTTTATTTATAATTAACTAATAAGTTTAATAAAATTTAATTAATTATAACAAACTAATAAGATATCGCAAAATATAATAATATATTAATTATAATAAAATTTCAATGTTAATTTAAAAATTTGTTTCACTAAAGAAAATTGAAGTTTAAATCAATAATATCTTGATTGAATATGACATCAAAGGAAGTTATTTTCTGTTTTGTCAGATTATAATAATTAATCACTTTTGTCACATTATTTATTTAAAAATCACCCACATTTTTCTACGATAAAAATGTAAAAAAAAATTTCATATTTTCAAGAAATATTAAACATTAAAAAAAAATAATCTATAAACATAAAAATAACAAAGAAAAATTATTTTATTGATTTTTGTCTTTCAGAATTGAATTTACAAATAATAATAATAATAATAATAATAATAATAATGAATCGAAAAAAATTATGGAGAAATTTATCCCGTCCAAAAAAAATGAAACCAATTATAAATTATAATAAAAATGAAATAAAATATCGTGGTGAAGAGTCTACTCTTTTTCAAGCAATTTCTCCAGCATTTTACATAATTCGCGTTTTTGGATTAGGACCCTATCATTTTTCAGGCGATCGTTTGGTACCATCAAATGTTCATTTAATTTTTTCTATTATTGGACTTTTATTTAATTCTTATGTTTCAATTGGAGTTTTGATACGATTTAGCATAAAGGGAAATCAACCAATTTTAGGAGTAACTGAACAACTAAAGGTACGTTATATATATATATATATTCATTTATATTACTGAAATCGAGATAAAAGGCAAAGGGGATTTTTTTCAATTTAAGTAAAAGGACAGAGATCATTTTTTTAAATCAAAAGAAAGCGGTATTTCCAATTTTTAGCTAAATTGAATTTTTTTTTTACTTTTTTTAAATTGTTAGTTATTACATAACAAATTTTATTTTAATTTGTTATTTTTACATCAAAAATTTTTTAATTTTTTTAAAAAATGTTATATGCAAAATAACAAATGAAAAAATTATTAATAAAATAATAAATAATAAAAAAATAATAAAATAATAATAATAATAATAATAAAAATTAATAATAAAATTAATAATAAAAAAAAAAATTTTATTGCAAAAAAAAAAATTGTCAATATTTAAAATAACGAACAAAAATATGTTTATATTGAATTTTTTGTTATTTAATTAAATTGTTTCGAATTGAAGATTAATATCTCACTGTATTTTAAGGATACTAATTTAATTTTCGCCCTCAGGTAATTATGAATTATGGCACTTCGATAGTGAATATTATAGTAGCAATGTGCACTAGAGAGAGAATTGTTCAAGTATGGACTATGATTCAAGACTTTGATTATGACACGAGCATATTGGGATTCCCACAAATGGAAAATGGAACTAAATTTAGAACATGGTGTATAATATTCATCAATACGATATTATGGGTATGGATCAATCAAGCGGGAATGTTGGCATTTTTTGAGACATGGTTACAAAATGTAAGCTATCTAATGCTCTATATTGCCACTTGTGTTTCCGTTTATAAATATGCAGGTCTTGTCATTATTATTGGATCAAGATTCAAGCACTTGAATAAAATTGCCAAAATATGTAGCCCTAATGAAAATGGATGGCATCATTTGCCCAAAATTGAATCGAAAGTAAGATTGATTTCATCAAAAAAATACAGTACTATTCTTTTTTAAATTAATTTTTTTTTTGAATGGAAAAACCATTTTTTTGACGAATAAAACGAAATTTTTTTTTACCGATTGCTGGTAATAAAGGAATCTACCTTACCACCGGTCGGCAAGGAAGATACAATGTTAATAACTCTCTACTACTGATAATGTAGGAATCTACCTTGTTGTTAGTCGAGAAAAGCGAATTATCATTGCTGGTAATAAAAGAATCTACTTTACTATCAGTCGGTAATGATTTCATCGAATAACAGTTAATTATTAAATTAATTAACTATTAAATCAGTTAAGAAGAATCAGTTAAGTCATGATTTTTTTGTTTAACCGGAAAAAATCTCGATAAAAAATTATATGGAACTGTGTCTAATTTTTAGACGAATAAAACGAGTCATCTTATACCGATTGCTGGTAATAAAGGAATCTACCTTACCATCAGTCGGCAAGGAAGATAAAATGTTAATAACTATCTACTATTGATAATGTAGGAATCTACCTTGTTGATAGTCAAGAAAAGGGAATTATCGTTGCTGGTAATAAAAGAATCTACTTTACTATCAGTCGGTAATGATTTCATCAAATAACAGTTAATTATTAAATCAGTTAAAAAGAATCAGTTAAGTCATGAATTTTTTGTTTAACCGGGAAAAACCACCATGAAAAATTATATAAAATTGAATCTAATTTTTAGACGAATAAAACGAAAGTCATCTTGTACCGACTGCTGGTAATAAAGGAATCTACCTTACTATCAGTCGATAAGGGAGAACCAAATGTAATATGTCTCGACTAATAATAATGTAGGAATCTACCTTGTCATTATATCGAGAAAATAAAATTATCGCTGAAAGACCTTACTTTCGATCGGTAATGACAAATCGTTGTTAAGAGCGATAAAACAGAAATCTACCGTGTTATCAGTCGGTACATAAAGAAATTGACGATTTGCCAACAGTTGGTAAAGTATGATTCTACCTTATCAATAGTCGGTAAAAAAAAACGTAAAATAAAATTACAAACATGAATCATTAAATTATTTTTGCGTACTTATTAATTTATTTATATAAATAAATTGTGAAATTAAAAAAAATTTGCAGGTAATTGAAAAATTACATGAAAATCTAATGACTGCTAGTAGAAATTTAGATTCAGCATATTCTTGGCCATTATTATTTTGGCTATTTAATTTGTGTTCGCACACTGTTAGCAACACTTATTTTATCATTACTGCATTTATGGACCACGATTTTGATATTATTATTCAAATTTGTTTGGCAGGATGGTTCATTATTTATGTTATGCAACTTATTGTATTGCATGTTGCCTGTGATTTTACATCGAATGAGGTAAAAATTTATTTTTTTCTTATTTTTGTTTTCTAAAATTAAAATATTTTGCAACTTTTTTACTTTTTTTTTAGTATCTATAAAATTAAAATTAATTGAAAGAAAAATTTAATTAATCTTTTTTTTTAATTTCAGGCTAATCGTTTGGGGGATATTTTATTAAATTGGAGAAAGTGGCAAGTCTTTAATGACGATGCTGTAAGTTGGAAAATTATCAAATGAAATTTATTTTTTTTTTCATATATTTAAAAATTAAATTTAACTCGTTTAAATAAAAATTGTGTTATAATCATGATTTTAAATCCAATTTTTTTTTTGTTACAGAAATTCGAGTCCACTTTATATTTGTTAAATTACAAATTAAACTTTTCAGCTGCCGGATGCTGTTATGTGAATTTACTATTATTGCGTTCGGTGAGCGAAAAAAAATATATCTATTTGTAAAATAAAATGAAAATTAAAAAGAAAATTAAATTTATTTTAATTTACAATTTTTATTTTTTTTCTTACAGATTACAGGAATATTGTGCACATATTTGATAATTCTACTTCAGCTTCCTTAGATGAAGATTAAATTTTTTTTTCCTGGTAAGTTTTTATTCTAAAAAAATTTTTTTTTTTTTTTTAAATAGGAGATAAATGAGAAAAAGAAATTGAAGATTAAAAATAAAATACGGAAAAAAGTATTTTAAAAAATTATGGTTTTATAAAACAGTTTACGATGATTTCTATATTTTTATTATTTTTATCCCGAGTTGGTATAATTTCAAAATGAAACAGAATCCGCAAATCTGGATTTTATAGAGAATGGAAACCTTTCCGAGTGAGTGTAATATTATTTCGAATTCACTTTCTTTTTTTCTTTAGATCTGCAAGAGTTCTATACTACAAATCCGTTTATCCATGAGACTCAAATCAGTTTACTAGTTGAATGCGTATTCGGGTTATACGGTTACGATATTAAATGTATAACATGGTAGTTCAGTGAATAGAAAATTTCATATTTTTATTTCGAATTGACGTTGTAATGAAAAAAAAAAAATATAAATTTAATGAAAAAAAAAATTTTTTTTATATAAATAAAGATAAATATTCAATAATTATTCATAATTTTTTTTCCATTTTATTTAATTTTATTTTTGTCATTATATTTCCTTTTTTTTTTTTTGTACTTTATGACTAATTTTTTTCCCAAAAATAATGTTTATAAATAAAAACTCTATTTTATACACCATTGCTCCGGAAAATTGCAAAGTTTTTCTTTTTTTTTCTTTTTTTTTTTGTATTATCCATCGAGCTTGAATACTGATCAAGTTCATTTTCTTTAGCACTATTTATTTGCCTTCCTGGAGTTTTGCAACGATGACCTTCGATTTTTTATTCTTAAGAAAATTACTCTCATTTATCTCCTCGAATATTTCAATTAACTTGACTTTGATTTAATTTTGTTAATCAATTTTAAAAGAGTATACAAAATTTAAAGTATTTACTTTTTCGTTTTTTTTTATAAATAAATAGTGATTTCTATTTTTTATTTTAAAAATTTTATCATATAGTAAAATTTTTAAAAATTTTAATTATTTAATTTAACTATTTTTTATTATTATTATTTATTATTATTTATTATTATTTATTACTATTTTTATTATTATTATTTATTATTATTTATTTATTCATTTATTTGTAGTTTACGGGCAGTGCATTTAATTTTTAATTATTTTAATTTTTAAAAAACATTTTTTGTTAATTAAAAAAAAAAATTAAAAGTTATTATTTTATTTACAAATGGAAAATGGTTAAATTTTTTAATTATGTTTACCAATTAATATAAAATTAGTTTTGAAAAATAAATATTTCTTATAAATGATGAAAAAATATATATGAAATATTCGTGGGAAAATATGGGAAATGAAAATAAACAGAAAATAATCGTATACAATATTTATTGATAGAAATATAATATATATTTATGTATTAAGAATATTAAGTACAGCCCTCATTGTTCTAATACGTGTGAAGAACGTATTTTGATATACATTTAGTATAATATTTTGTCTTTATAATTTAATATTAGTCCCTAATTTCTAATATGGTCTATATATATATGTACACATTTCTCAAAAATATACATAGAAATTTTTTCAAAAACGTTTTAATCATTTAAAACGTTAAAATTTCCTTTTTAAAAGATGCACGCACTACTTTTAAAAAAAAATTTAATGAGAATATGTAAAAAAAAAAAGAAAATCAAAAAATTGCCACAATTTATTATTACTGTTAATAGTAAAAATGAAGCAATCGTTTGGAAATTAAAAGTCAAAATCATTCTTGCTTCCTTATAGAAAATAAAAGGTAAAATTTTTTATTAATTTGTTTTTTTTTAAACATAAAAACTATTAATCAAATATCAATTTGGCAATTTTTTTTTTTTTTTTTTTAATTAGAAATCATTTTATCAAATACTTAAAAACTTTGAAAGTCATAGTTTTCAGGTTTTGATTATTGCGAGATTTTGTTAAAAATATTTCTTTAAGAAATAAACAAAACTCTTGATTTATAATGAAATATACATATGAAAAATAATCTTTTCTTCATTGATTTTTTTTTAATCGTCGTTACATATTTCGTTTAAAAAATAAACGTGATTTTTTTTTTTTTCAAAGAAGTCAAGATTTTTTTTTTTTTTTTTTAATTAGAGGGGCAAAAATATCGTACGTCATTTACAGCAATTTCATTATTTTAATCTTATTAAGTAAAAAAGTATTGTCTAAAAATTATCACAATTTATTTTTGAGTATTTTTTTTTTTTTCATTCAGAATTAAACAGTTTTTGGATCTACAAAAAAAATTTTTTAATTTCTCTCGACTTTTTATTTGACAAATTTTTCAATTAGTTTCTTGGATTTTTTCTTTTTTTGTTTAAAAATAATTAATCCGTGAAAGAGAAAAGTTTTTCTTATTTTTTTCCTCTTGTTACTAACCCGTCTTACTTCTTTAAAAGAAAATAAAGAAAAGAAAAGAGGGAAAGTCTAAAGTTTCTTTTTTTTTCTATACAAGTTTTTCACAGAAGGAAAACTTTTAATTTTTCCCGTGAAAAGCTTTTTACATTAATTGTTTATACTAAAATTAAAATTTATACAATTATTCATTCAAAAAAAAAAAAAAACAAAAAAAAATTTACATTTTAAATTAAAATAAATATTTGAATGAAATGATTTTTACAATGAAAATTTTAAAATAAAAAAAAAAATGATTTGTGCTATAAAAAAAAATATGTAATATGTTTTTTTAAAAAGAAATTCTTTTTCGTGTGTGACTAATATTTAGTATTTATTATTCGTTATAATGAATTTTTAAAAACTTTTTGAATTATTTGTATTGAAAAAACACAAAATTTTACATATTTTACATTTTTTAAAAGTTTAATTAATTATTTAAAAAGAACCTCGGTTAATAATTCAAAGCAATGTAAATAATTAAATTAAATGTATTTTAAAAAAAAAATTTCGTTAGAAAATTAAATTTAGAAAACAATTACAGTTCATGATCAACAATTTCTAAAGAAATGAAAATTGTAGTCATTGTAATGAAATGTCAATTTTTCAAGATATCTTGAAATGAATATACATGAGTAAATTTTATTTTTTACAAATTTTGACACAAGAACTGAATTTTATTTTAAATTTTGTTGAAAAGTAAATAATTTAATAAAAAAATAGAAGAAAAATTATTTTGTAATTTGATAATTATTACAGTATATATAGTTGAACAATAAATATTAAATATTCAAATTAAATAAATTGTTATATATAAAATTATATCACAATCATAAATATATAATTTATTTATTTATAAATCAATTTTTATAAAAGCTTTACTCTCGGTATATTTTTGTTTTTTTTAAATAGTATTCAATCATTTTTTCTCTATCTCGATTTAAAATCGCATGCTTCAAAAATTGTAACGATAATTTAAAATCGTATAAAAAAATTGCAATAAAATAATTAAAAAATAAAATTATAAAAATTATTTAGAAAAAAAAAAAAGTTAAAAAAAAGCAGAGATTTCTCTCGAGATATTCGAAAAATAAATTCTATTCTCGAAGATCTTTTTTTTGGTTTTAATCTCTAATAAATTATTTATTTAAAAAGAAACAGAAAAAAAGGTTGAATACTTTAAATTCGAGTAAAACAGTTACAAAACAAATAGATTTTCAAATGAGTAATAACACTTAAAAATATTAATTTTCCCAATATGGAAAATTAAAAGAAGAAAAAAATTGCAATATAACAAGGAAGAAAATACTTAAAAATATTTTCCTTTTATTGTTAATTTTTTTTTTTTTTAACACACGAATTAGAATTTTTTTTTTTTCTTCAAAAAATACACATTAACATTTATATACGAGAACGCGTAAATTTTTATTTTCTTAAATGAATTTTTTTTTTTTCAATAAATAAATGATAATAAATAAATAAATTATGGCACTTAAAAAAAATCACATTGAGAAAAAAATCACAAATGATAATACTGCATTATTTTTTGAACCAAAAACTGCTCAAAGCTACTGAAATATATTATTATTTTTTTTTTATAGTAAACAAATTGTGATGTCATGATTAATCTAAAAACGAAATCAATTTTTGTTTGTTAAATAAGCTGTAAATGTGCAGATTTTACAAAAAAAAAAAAAAAAGAAAAAAAAAATTAAAGCCTTGGCATTTTACAAAAATAATTTAAATTTTTTATCAAAAAATATTTACAGAAATTAACAATAATGAAAACGCCAAATCTATTGCTTTTTTTCCCCATTTTTTTTTCGAATTATAATAATTTATATCTTAATATTCCGAATAATATCGTTTTGGTGTCTTTCTTGTCAATTTTTGTTTTTTTTTTGTTTCGGAATTTCAAAAATTGTTCTAACTTTCAGAATTTTGGATTTGATTTTCAAAAATTGATTTTTCTTTACAATTCTAAAAATGGTTTTTCCTATTTTGAAAATGATATACAAGGGAATTTTTTTTCTTCAGAAAAAATGTTTCTTCAATGCTTCAGAATTGTAGTAAATTTTTGTTTTTTTTTCTGAAAAATCATCTTCAAAAATTTAGAAATAGGAGAAAATTTTGATTTCTAAAAATGCTTCAAAATTTTCGTAAATATTTATTTAAGGTTGAAAGAATTTTTAAGGTGTTGATTTTTTTAGCAACCGATGTTTTTTTAATCCTTCAAATCCTTTAGATAAGGATAATTTTTGAAAAATTTTGAAAATAATTTTTATAAACCAACAAATTTGATAAATACAATGGCAATGTATTAATTTTTAAATTTGATGCATCAAAATAATTTTTCCAAAATTATCAAAATCCGAAACATAAACGAAAAAAAGAAAAAAAAAATTGAATCTCTAGAAGGACGTGACTTTTGTTGAAACTGTTCTAAGCTCATCGGCTGATCTAAAGACCTCAGGACTAAGATACCTTTTGTTCCTGGATTTAATCGTGGCATACTGAGGTGGACTTGGCGATGAATAATAATCCTGTGATGATCCCGAAACGCTGACAAAATCTGCATTTCGTCTCTTTAAAGATAATGCATCTTCATAAACACTTGATTTTGGACGTAATTTTGGAACATCATATGTATTAACTTCATCGAGACATAAATCAAAGGAAAATTTAATAACATCCGAAATTCCAGGCTCTGATCTCGATAAATATTTCCTTGGCACATCATATTCATTTTCCGATGAATGAAATGATGATTCCCTTGGTTTTCGAAGAATTACCTCATCATCATTATCATCATCCATGGAATCTTCATCTTTGCTTGGCGAGATGAATGGATGTTTTGGTATTCTTGAACACATTGGATGCTTAGGTAGATTTTTCAGTTTTGTTTGGAATTTTCGATCCAATGATTTTACCATTATTTTACTTGGCGATGGATAACAAGGTCCAAGATCAACTTTGACCTCATCTCTGGGAATTTCGTAGAGTAATATTTTCTTTTTCCCATTATCAAAATTATGATTATCATTGTCATTGTCATAATTTACAATTGATTGAAATGTGGAGAGATTTGTTGATTTTCGATTGAAATTTGGCATTGTTGACCAATTTCCAATTGCACTATTGTTAGCGTAAATATGTTCAATTTTGTTTTTCTTTTGATTACGTAGTTGCACTTCCGATGATGTTATTGATGTCAATGATGACGATGACAATGATGATTGTTCATCATAGCCTGAATCAGGTAATTCACGATTTTCATCATTTACATTAACTTGTGATGAAAAAACAACCTCCTTCTTTTTTTGATAATCCAATTTTTTTCCACTAAGTGTTGAGAGTAATTTTTTTAATGATTTTTTACGTGGTAATTTTTTACCTGGAAATGGTATCCAATTCACTGATATTTCTTCAACTTTTACTGGTTTCTTGAGAAATGCACCAATTATAATTGGAGCTCTTTCTTTTCGTTTTAATGTTGAATCATCATTATTATCATCATTATTATGCAAACTTTTTCTCTCTAAATATTGATCAATTTGTGAATTTGATATTTTTGATTCCATTTGATTTACATTTTTAGATTCATTATTATAATGATCGTAGTGATCAATTTTAGGATCTCTTTGAACATAATTATCATTTTGAATATAGTGATCAATTTTAGGATCTCTTTGAATATAATTATCAATTTTTAAATCCAATTGTTTGTCAATAATTTTTTTTTGCTCCATTTCAATGTAATGATTAATTTTTGATTCCATTTGAATATAATGATTATTTTCTAATAAAGAATTTTTCTCATAATTTTCATTTTCATTAGGAATAATTTTCAATGGCATTGGACTTCTGTATTCAAATTTAAGTGCCTCGTTACTTGATGATGTTGAACTTAAACTATCGGATATTTCAATTGCGGCAAAATGAAGTGATTGACAAATATTTGAAAATGAATGTCGATAAATTTGTGGATGATCTTTTAATTTATCATCGCGAACACGTTCCGATATTAATGTTGTTGGATTATTATTATTATTGTTATTATTATTATTATTAATATTGGTGATTGGTTTATATTTTTCTTCAAAGGCTGCAACAATTCTCTTGACAAAGTTTCCGGATCCTGAATCAAAGTTTGACCTTGGTGACATGAAACCCGATTCAAATTCTTGAACAATATTCTCGACAATATTATGAGAGTTTGTTAATGAAGCTGGCAAAGTTTTTGACTTTCTCATTGGTTCCATTTTACAGCAAGGGATATTATCGTGTGTTGAGGATATATTCAAAGATTCTTCTTGCGATGGTATTAGTCCTGTTAAACTCATTGGACTTTGATGCTCCTGTTGCTTGATTGGCTTCGTTGCTGTTGATTCAGAGGAAATTGCAAATTTCTTGCACGAAGATTTTCTTGATAAACTATTTTTTCGAAATAATAATAATGATCTGTTTCCAATTTCACTATTATTGTTATTATTATTATTCCGTCTTGACAATATTGTTCTTCTTAATCTCGTACGTTCAAAGTATTGTATATCAGGTGAAATCTGCAAAATGAAAAATTTTTATTATTTCACAATTTTTTTTTTTTTTTTTTGAAAAATTACATTTTTCAATTTTTTTATGATTATTTTTATTTATTCGACTCATTAAAAAAAAAAAAAATCAAGATTTAATTTTCACAATTAAATTTAAATTATAAATAATTTAATTTAACATCAAATATTTGTAAAACAAAAAAAAAATAAATGAACCTAAATTTAAGGCAACAAAATTTTCCATAATTGAATGTTTACAATAAATAAATTAAAATCAAATTGCAGAGCGGTTAATTTTACTTTAATGAGTAATTATCACTTTTCATATAATTGGGTAATAATATTTTTTTAATGTATACAACTAATATATTTTAATTATTTTTTAATTGAAATATAATTTTTTCTTTCTTGCATAAAAAAAAAATTAAGGACTTTTTCTGGATATACTATTTTTGAGAAAATAAATAATTTTCCAAAAATTTTCTTTTATCCATTAATTAGTTAAATTTTTTTTTTTAAATATTTACTACAAAATTGTATTTTAAAATATTTATTATTAATATATTTATTTTTGAAATAAATAAAATATTCTACTTTGGCAATTAATAAATTCAAGTAAACTGTATATATATTAAGGCCATGCATAAGTTTGTAAAAAAAAAAGATAAAATTTTTTTATGATTTCCAAAATAGTTTGTAGCAAGAATTTACAAAAATTTTTTGGTATTTTTTATGAATTCAAAAATTGTTTATGGTATATTTATAAAAATGTTGTTGCCAAAAAAAATATAAACAAATAGAAAGTGTCGGTAAAGAAGATTTGGAAATATAACCTCAAACAGTGTTTTCCTATAGAAATTAAATTTTTTGGCATTTTTACAACAAAATAAACAATTTTTTTATTTATTTTCACGTTTTTTTTTAAATTTTCAAAAATATTTTACTTTAAAGAAAATGTTTGGAAAATTTCAGGAGCGTAACTGTTAAAATTAACAGCGCGTGCTGAATTATTGATGCAGATCACTTTTATGAAGAAAATATTTGCTTGGGCCAAATAATCAATTAATCCACAAGCTTCAATTTTTTCCTTTTAGCAAAAAAAATTCCTTTTTATATTTCTCTATATTTATAATAAATTAATAAAAAAAAAAAAATAGAATATAAAAAAGAAACCAAGAAACAAACAAAAGAAATAAAAATTTTTAAATTAAGTCATACTCAAAAATGTTACATATACGACTTTTAATTTCTCATTAAATAAAGATTCAACTTTGAAAAAATGGAAACAAAATTTTACAAAACAAACCAAATTGTTTACCATGCAAAATTATGTAAATTATTTTCTTGCAAGTAAAAAAATTGAGGAAAAAAAATTTTCTTCTTTATTTATAAAATAGAAAATAATTTGCCAAAAATTGAATTTTTTCAATAGGGAAAATATTAAATTTTTGTTTTACAAAAAAAAAAACTTACCTCTTCTTCTTCTTCTTCATCAGATTTACTCGAAGTTTGTTGAAGAAACTGGTTCATTCTATTCGAATTACTCATGGCTTTCGACTAATATTAAACCTCATCGTACACATTTGAAGATTATTTTTAAAACATTTTTCGATTGCCAGCACTTAATCCCTCAAGCAGGAAAAATAAATATCCCATACACTATATAAATATATATGTTCCTTATTATGACCTTCACTGAATCAAAAACACTTGTTGCACTTTCTTCACAAAATCACAATAAAGGGAGGGGGGTGTGTGTGTGAATAATGATAATTCATAAATTAAATTTTTAATGAGTAAAACAAAAAAATACTGATTTTGAAAAAAAAAATTTTTTTTTGTATCTACATAGTGGGACACACAAACTGGAAAGAAGTCGAACAAGGTGTAAGCGTGGGAATACTGAAACTGTTGTGGTGCCTTCAAAGTTTAGAAAATGGAACTTGTTTGAACTACCTGAGTTCCAAAAGGGATTGCCAATGACTACTTCGGTCTATTGTGATCAAGGGTCGAAGTCTGAACGGCGATTAGTCGAGAAAAATCGCTCCTCCCTCTCTTTTTTTTTTTTTTTTTTTTTTTTTCTTGAAATCTATTCTTGAAATGAAAATAGAGGAAATTTTATTTGTGCCGATGAACATGCCTTTCAGAACAAATTCTCCTCTAGCTTCGTTACATTCCATTCTACCTGTGATGCAATTCGCAATTTTTTTTTTCAAACTATTTTTTTTTCAATTTAATGTCTAAGTAAATTTTAAAATTATTTAAAATAATTGATTTTATTTTTTAAAATTATAAATAGAAAGGAATTAAATATTTTTTTTTGTCAATTTTTTTTATTAAATATTTAGGTATTAATTTTTATTTATTCGAATTATTTTTTTTGGAGTCAAATATTTTTTTGGACAATTATTACTTATTTATTTATTTAATCACGCAAATGTAATAATTTATTCGTATTATTATTTTTTGTACAATTATTTTTATTTATTCGAATTATTTTTTTAGAATCAATTTTTTATTCAATTAATTTTTATTTATTCGAATTATTATATATTTTTAGAAGGAAAAATTTTTAGGAGAATAAAATTTTTTATTTATTCAAATTATTTTTTTTAAAAAGTCGAAATTTTTTAATGAAAATAATTTCTCTTTATCTGAATAATTATTTTTTTAGAGTCAATAATTTTTGGACAATTATTAATTTTATTTAATTACGCAATGTAATAATAATTTATTCGAATTATTATTTTTTTTTGAAGTCTATTTTTTAGGAGAATAATTTTTATTTATTCAAATTATTTTTTTTGGAGTCAAATATTTTTTTGGACAATTATTACTTATTTATTTATTTAATCGCGCAATTGTAATAATTTATTCGTATTATTATTTTTTTAGGAGAATAACTTTTATTTATATTCGAATTATTTTTTTTGGAGTCAAATATTTTTTGGACAATTATTATTACTTATTTATTTATTTAATCACGCAAATGTAATAATTTATTCGTATTATTATTTTTTGTAAAATTATTTTTATTTATTCGAATTATTTTTTTAGAATCAATTTTTTATTCAATTAATTTTTATTTATTCGAATTTATTTTTAGAAGGAAAATTTTTAGGAAAATAAAATTTTTTAATGAAAATAATTTCTCTTTATCTGAATTATTTTTTTAGAGTCAATAATTTTTGGACAATTATTAATTTTATTTAATTACGCAATGTAATAATAATTTATTCGAATTATTATTTTTTTTTGAAGTCAATTTTTTAGGAGAATAATTTTTATTTATTCGAATTATTTTTTTTTGGAGTCAAATATTTTTTTGGACAATTATTATTATTTATTTATTTAATCACGCAAATATAATAATTTATTCGTATTATTATTTTTTGTAAAATTATTTTTATTTATTCGAATTATTTTTTTAGAGTCAATTTTTTATTTGAATTATTTTTTTTTACAGTCAAATATTTAATGGGAAATTATTTATATTTATTTGAATGATGTTTTTTTATTCGATTGGCATAAAAAAAACACATAAAAAGGAAAAAAAAATGAGACAACAAGATTGAAATACGCAGGAAAAATCAATTCGATTGGAAGTTGAGATTAAAGTTTAGGATTGATACAAGTGCAATATCAAACACATTTACCAACTGAAGTTGATTTTTATAACATATAAACGGTATTATTTCTACTTCCTCTATCAATGATAGAAATAATATTTACATATATATAGGAGATTGAATATACAAGATAAAATTTTTATACAATATTTAAGGGCCAAATAAAACAAAAATTGGGAAATTTTTTTTTCAAATAAATTCAAAAAAGAAGAATCGAATTTTAGTTTCTTTGAATTTAAAGACCAATTATAATTCTATCAAAAAAAAATTTGCCTCAAATATTTATTTGAACCAAATAATTTTTTTTTCATATATTTATATTACAAATTATTTAATTTAAATAAAATTTATTTGGTTCAAGTAAATATGTATTTGAAATAAAATTTATTTGGTTCAAGTAAATATTCATTTGAAATAAAAATTTTTTTTTTCAGTATAGGGAATCCCAATTTGAAATAGAGAGATATTTTAAAAATATATACCCGTGTAATAAAATATGCAACTTTTGGTTATGTGGGGAAATTTTAATCCCAATTCTGCGCTGTCTTTAGAAAAATTTTTGAAAATATATATATATATATATATATATATATATATATTGTATTTTGTTGACGACATGCTGAGAACAGATGCTGTCAGCAGTTAAATCATAATTTGCAAAATGTACAAAGTAGTATTACAGTGTATCCACTTGAATATTGTATATCGAAGGCTATTTTTCGAAAAATGTTCACTCCCTCTTTGGTGGAATAATATAATTCTTTGTTAAATTACTATTTGACTACCTATTATTTGTCAATGAGCCGTTTTTGGGGAATTTCACAAAACGTCGACACGATGAACGTCGACGCGTCGTGTTCTACCTTTTCTTAATCCTACCTCAATATTTTATACCTAAACTGTCGTCCAAAAACCGTAATAAAACAATCCCACTCTATACCTTTGGCCGCCCGCCTGCCTTTTAAAGATCTCATAGATTTCTAATGTTGATTCTAAAGTTTTCAAAGTTCGTTTTCAATATAATATACTTTTCCCGCTTTACCGTGTCTCATTATCTTAATTACTTTTACTTTTATATTTTCTTTCACGCAGGTATAAAATTCACCAACACATTCATCGGCAAGAATGTATTTTTATGCTAAATGTAAAATGCAAGTTAAATAAAAGATTTTTTTTTACTTACATTTCTGGAATATTGTTTATTCTATTTATTTTCGTAAACTTTTAATAGAAATATTTCTGTCTGAGAATATTTAATAATAACAAAAATCCTGGAATATCTTTCGGGAATATTTTTTCAGAAATACTCTATTTAAAATTGTATATTTGTTCTATATTCATATGAAATATTGTGAGAAGAATATTTTCATGGAATATTGTATTCTATGGAATATTCTAGTGAACTATCAGTGGAATATTCGAGGAATATTTTTGCAAAATATCTTTGGGAATATTTAAGAAATATTTTTTTTTAAAATAATCTCGGAATATTATAGTAAATTATTATGGGAATATTTCGTAGAAATATTTGACAACATTTCCATGGAATATTGTAGAAAATTTTTTTTCTGGAATATCATAGGAATATTTGTACAAAGTATTTGGGAATATTTCACATAAAATATTGTAGAAAGATTATCCAAAATTTTTGTGTAATATCATAGACATATTCGAGGAATTTTCTAGTAAATTATCGCAGTGAAATATTCGTGGAATATTTTTGCAAAATATCTTTAGGAATATTTAAGAAATATATATATTTTTTTAAATAATCTCGGAATTTTCTATTTATTTATTATGGGAATATTTCGTAGAAATATTTGGCAACATTCCCATGGAATATTATAGGAAAATTTTTTTCTGGAATATCATAGGAATATTCTAGGAATTTTCCAGTAAAATATTCTTTGGAATATTTAATTAAATATTGTTGTAAAATAATCTTGTAATTTTCTAATTAGGAATATTTCTACGAAATATTTATCCCCATAGAATGTAGTTGGGAGAATTTTTTCCAGAATATCACAGAAATATTTCAGCAAAATATTATTATATTATAGGAATATTTTTCTTAAATAATCGAAGAAATTTTCTATTCTATTATTGCGAATATTTGAACAAAGTATTTGTGAATATTTTACATAAAATATTTTAGAAAGATTATCCAAAATTTTTGTGTAATATCATAGACATATTCGAGGAATTTTCTAATAAATTATCGCAGTGGAATATTCGTGGAATATTTTTGCAAAATATCTTTAGGAATATTTAAGAAATATATTTTTTTAAATAATCTCGGAATTTTCTATTTAATTATTATGGGAATATTTCGTAGAAATATTTGGCAACATTCCCATGGAATATTGTAGGAAAATTTTTTTCCGGAATACCATAGGAATATTCTAGGAATTTTCCAGTAAAATATTCTTTGGAATATTCTAGTGAAATATCATTGGAATATTCGAGGAATATTTTTGAAAAATATCTTTGGGAATATTTAAGAAATATATACATATATATATATTTTTTAAAATAATCGCGAAATTTTCTATTTAATTATTATGGGAATATTTTGTAGAAATATTTGGCAACATTCCCATGGAATATTGCAGGAAAATTTTTTTCTAGAGTATCATAGGAATATTCTAGAAATTTTCCAGTAAATATTCGAGGAATATTTTTTTGCAAAATATCTTTAGGAATATTTAAGAAATATATTTTTTTTAAATAATCTCGGAATATTCTATTAAATTATTATGGGAATATTTCGTAGAAATATTTGGCAACATTCCCATGGAATATTGTAGGAAATTTTTTTTCTGGAATATCATAAGAATATTCTAGAAATTTTCCAGTAAAATATTCTTTGGAATATTTAATTAAATATTATTGTAAAATAATCTTTTAATTTTATAATTAGGAATATTTCTACGAAATATTTATTCCCATAGAATGTTGTTGGGAGAATTTTTTCTGGAATATCACAGAAATATTGTAGTAAAATATTATTATATTATAGGAATATATTTATAATAATATAATTTATAATAATAAAATAATATAATAATATAATGTAGGAATATTTTTTTTGCAAAAAATAACTTTGGAATATTTAAATAAATTTTTTTTTTTTCAAAGATGAAGTATTTTTTTTATGGAATACTAGAGAAATAATTTTAGAAATATTCTTGTGTGGAATATCATTAAATAATAAATATATTGTTGAGTGAAAATTATCTCTGGGATTTGTTTGCAATAGAATTTGCAATTCCCTTTTCAGTGAGGGAGATTTCACCCCTTAAAAATCATTTGATACGAAGGACTTGTAGAGAAGCAAAGGATGAATTTATGTACGATATGGGAAGCTGTGTACTGTCACACATGAGCAGCAGTTAATTTACATGCCGCCAACATCGCATCCAATATAACTCTAGTTAGATCAATTTACTATCTATATACATATATATATAAGTATACACACCTTTCTGAAAGTTATGAGTATTCAATATGAAATTACATGATTTTGATTGACTTGCAAAACGGCATTTCATGTTTAATTTAGATATACGAATGTGGAGCAATATTTCAAAAGTAATCCAATAAAAAAAAAATTAATTTAATTAATAATTAAATAATTTAAATTAATTCCATTAAATTTTTTTTTCACATTTTTAATAAATATTTTACAATTACACAGAAAATTAAAAGGCATTAAAATAAGCTGCAACGCTTATTATTTTAATGCCTTTTAATTTTCTGTGTATTTGGGATAAGCAAAATTTGCCAAATTAGAATTTTTCTATTTCAATTTATAAAAATAAAAATGAAAACAAAATCCCCTAAATTATAATCCATTTTGCCTTCTGAAAGGAATATGAATGTTTTGTTTTAAAAATCACTACGTATTGTTTAAAGTTGTATTGTAATATATGAAAAAAAAAATAATTTTTAAATGTTTGTTTCAAACTATAAATCAACTAAAAATATCATCAATCAAGATATTAAAAATTTACGGATGTATAAATTAGAATCTCATTAAATGTAAATTTAAATTTTTAGAGGTAATTTAAATTCCTCAGATAGGCTGAGAAATGCATATATATATATATGCAATTAAGGGAAATTTTAAGGGAAAAATCTTTTTCTTTTTTCAATTATATAATAATTAACTTTTAATTTTTTGTTTGTTATGACTACTGTTTAAATTGTATTTTAATAATAGTGAAATAATAATAAAATTAAATAATTATTATTGCCATTGTTTGACAATTGTTCCTTCTACTAAAACTGTTGATTCTAGAAACGCAGAATTTCAATTGTTTGAAATTACAATACAACTTTGAACAATGCATTCAACGTCTTCAAATTCAGGACAAGTGGTGGTAAATACCATGCAAATTATTTTAATTGTTTGAGAACATTAATTACTCAAATTTCAATGTCAAATAATTTTGTACAAAAAAATTTTGCATGTTCTTTTGTGGGTCAAATTTTTACAATAATTTAGAAATTAATTTAGAAAATAATACAATCTAATTATTTGTGTAATTAACTGTTTTTTTTAGTCTTACCCAAAAAAAAATCGAAATAAGGTAAAAAAAAAAGAATTTAATCAAAAATGTAAAATAACGATTGTGGGAATTTTTTTTTTTTTTATTAGATATTCTGCCCAAGCGGGAGATCGATTTGAAAATTATCCTCACGGGAATCGTATGAAACACGCCAGGCTGTTCTATAAATCTCAGCTCACTTTTACCGAAGGGAAAAATAAAGTTCAGGAATTTCCCCAAAGAGATTTTCATATACTTTCGGTGATATTATGAAAAACAGCTTGGGACTTTAAATGCACATAACATGAGGTTTATATATCGCGAACTTAAATTTGAAATTTTTACCGCGCATAATCGACAAAGAAAAAAATTATTTCCAAAAAAAAATATTAAAAAAAAAATGTTTTTTTAGGGAAATATTCTTGTAAAAGAAATAGTACTACAGAGTAAAATTTACCCATACAAATGCTACTTCACTGTCAGTTTGGTAAAATTTACCAAAAACATTTAACTAATTTTAAAATAAATAAAATTCTCAAGAAATTCTGTTTTTATTTTTGCATATTATTTCATAATAATATTATGAAACATTAAGGGAAAAATGAAAGTAGAATGCTCCACCCCAAAAAATATTTACTGCACCAATCTGATTCACAACCAATCACATTGGAGAATTAACAATTAAGGAATCAAAAGAAATATACAGCAAAATGCTAATTACCTCACACTCCTTAAATAAAAATTCACTTGGAAGGGATGACACTCCCCATTTACCTGAGAAATCATTTTCAAAATTAGAATCAGAATCACAATACTGGTGGCAGTTCAACAATAATCATCAAAACTATCGTTGTTACAAAGTGCGTTCATAATGTTTGCTAAAAATAGTAAAAATTTGACACCACACAGATCATGTTGTGTACATTTAACTGGTCATATTCAACAAGTTTCTGATTTAAAATTTAATTCATCATTAGAATCATCATCGTCCAATTTTAATAATACAAAACAAACAATACCATTTTTAACTCCAATTCTAAAACGTGTTAAAAAAAAGTGTACAATTGTCATTAAAACTCTCAATGCATCGTACAATCATTTTCAAGCAAGAAGAAGAAGCAGAAAATTAATTAATTCATCGGCAAAAATCAATGGTCTCTGGAAAAATCCATCAACAATTCTTCAATATTCATCCGATGATGAATTATCCGATGAAGATGAATCATTATCAGATGAGGAATCATTTAATTCTTCCATCACTGATACAATTCAAGTATTTAATGATTCAAATAATAATTTAATTTCAATTTTACCAAAAAATTTATTGTTAAATAAATTTCTCACACTACTCAAACGTATGGAGACAAGGGACTGTTCAAAATTACAACAAACGGATGATAATAATAAATGTTTCATTAAAAAATATGCAAAATTAACATCATTCCCTGTTAATAATAATAATGATTTAAAAATTGAAAAATCAGAAATTAAAACTGAATTTAGTGTTGTGAAATATACAAATTATCCAGGGAAATTTAATAAAATTTTGCCTAATCATAGAAGTGGATGTGTTGTTACTGATAATTTTGAAAAGAAGAATAAACAAACAATTGATGTGAATCCATTTCCAAATTTTGATATATGCAAAGGTTTTCAATTTGTAAGCATTACAAGAGCAAGTGACAAAATTATTGAAGAATCAGCTAGTGAATTAAATGTGATTAAACCAGAATTAATTTACGTGGATGCTTCCAAAGTTATGAACAACTATCAAAGTACAAAATTCCATCGAAATACAAAGCAAACATTTAATGAGGATCAACAAAATCATGTTATCAACAAGACGATGGAAAACATTTCATCTTAGTTCTTTCTGCTCCATAAAACAGAACAAATAAAGGTAAAATACAACATTTTATTAATAAATTAAGAAATTTTTACATCTACAAAATTCGTATCAATTAAAATTCTGTTGAATGAAAATTAAGCTAAATTAAAATTCGATTTTAAAAATTCGGTTAAATTAGAGTTCTTTGGGGTAAAAGTTGGGTAAAAAGAATTCGAAAAATGAAAATTGGTTTAAAAATTAATTATATATAAAAAATTCCTTAAATTGAAAATTCTAATTATTTTTATAGAATAATAATTTCATTTAATGTTACATGGAAAATTATATTAAAATACAATTAATTTTTTGTTACAGGAGACAAAAATGTATGAAGATCCAAATATAAAATTTTGGAAGATTTTATACTGCGTATTCGATAAAAGGATTTTTCTAAATCAAAACATGATTTGGTCAACTAAGAATTTTTTTTCCTAAATAAAAATTCTTAAACAACGAGGCTTTTCTACAATAATAAAAAATTATACAACTCTTTATGTGATTTTAATATTATTTATATCAAAAAGCTTTAAAATATTATACGAATAAATTGTATAAGTCAATTTTTATACTGTGAAAATACCGTAATTTTAAAATTCTACGAGTTATTATTGTGTTTATAAAATTTGAAGAATTTCCAAAGAATTTTTTCTAGTCTCTATATTTTTTTACTATATACAGTTCGAAATGTAACTAATAATTGTGTATTTTTTGAAAATTTCAATAAACTATTATGCCTCATCGGAAAAAAAAAGTGTTTTACTTTAATTATTAAATAAAAAATAATTATTATATTCAATAAATAAAAAATTTTACAATAAAAAAAAAAGAAAAAAAAAATTTTTTCATTAAAACATTTTTTCACTTTTTGTTAGAAAATGTAAAAAAAAAATTTTTTTAGTTAATGCTATTTATTTTGGTCCCAGTGGTGCTTATTTGTAACTGTCTAGTATATTTTCTCTTTACTCAGAGAATGTCTTGAAACGCCCTTATTATCCTTGCCAATTTTTCAGGTCGAGCTTAGTAAGCAACACGAAAGACTTTTTTTTTCGCAAATGAGAATCGTTCTCTGAATCTTATACCAACTCTTAAAAAAAAAAAAACTAAACAAAATTAAGGCCAAAAATTACATAAATTAATTACAGGTCTCTTATCTCCTTTTTTCATTTTAGAAAAAAATTACTGACACTTTTCTATATCTTATCTTTATAAATACGGAAAACGAAAGAAAATAAAAGAAAACAAAAAGCGAAAAAATCCTCCTAAGCATAAAAAAGATAATTTTTTTTTTTATGAAAAAAATAACTTATTTGTATTAATTTGAAATATAAAAATATATTTTTTTTTTACCAACAGCCATGAAAAAATATTTTACAAACAAATATAAATAAAATAAGGGAAAAATTTTCTAGTGACAAAGTGGATAAAAATAATATCAGAAATCAATTATTCACATAATTGATTTTTGATAAGTAAAAAATCAAAATAAATACCTTAATTCTGTAAAAAAAATTTCATTAGTTACATCCTCTTCTACAAAAAAAATTTAATTTTGAAATTTAATTAATTAAGTTAATTAATAAGTAATGAAACAAAAAATATAATTTACATTACAATGATATAAAAATATAAAATTTATATTCAGAAAATATTTTGAAAAATTAAAACACAACAATTAAATATTAAAATTCAATTCTTGGTAATAAAAAACGTTAATTAATTAAAATGTATTATTTGAATACTTATTTATCATTGAATAGTCATAAAACTTTTTTTTTTTCATTTAATTTAAAGCTCTCTTTTAATGTTTCTTTCCGATCCAAGAAAAGAATTATCCTAATCTAAGAAAATGAGACAATAAAACAAATATCCACCACACTAATTAAATAAATTGTTCAATTATTTTTAATTAATTACATAATATTGTCAATCAATTTAATTAGCGATCACTAGAAAAATTTTCAAATTAATTACAACCTGCATCCGTCACATCAAATATGGAGACAGGAGGGACTTACAATATTAGCCGATTCTTTTATCTCATGGGATGACGGAAGCACTTCATTGATTCCTCCTTCGCATCCTTTTTAGTCCTGAAAAAATACAAAAAAAAAAATTACACTACTAGAAAAAGATATTACTTTTTATATTATTTTTTAACTTATATATTATTATAATATTCTAATTATTAATAATTATTAATAATAATTAATATAATAGTAATAATAAATTAATATATATAATTATCATATTTCATAATTAAAAGATTCTTTAATTAAAAAAACAATTTTTAGTTCAATATTGGAGAAGTGTTTTTGGAAATCAAATTAATATTAATAATAATTATTATTCATAATATCACTTTGTTTGCAAATATGCATCAAATCACATTGACGTCATGGGAGAATTGTTCACTCTGTTGGAAATCTATGCACTATGCATGAGACAACAATTTTAGTAGAAATTGCTCAATAAAATTTGCGATCATTACAAATTGATGAGTTACCTCTGAATTAAAAAACAAATTAATCTATATAAAGAGATTAAAATGAAAAAAAAATACATTTTTCTTTTAAGAACATCAGCAGCAGTATTTGTCTGTCAATTTTTTTCTACACTTTTAGGTGTATTTTGTGCAAGAATTTGCAATAAAATAGTCCGCCTAAGAAAAATTGAATTTTTTTGGGCACTTTTTTCAGGTTATGGTTGACTTTTTGGTGGTAAAAAGTGTCTTCCTCTACTCGGATCGGGCTGTCAATTTTTTTCTACACTTTTCTACACTTTTAGGTGTATTTTGTGCAAGAAAATGCAATAAAATAGTCCGCCTAAGAAAAATTGAATTTTTTTGGGCACTTTTTTCAGGTTATGGTTGACTTTTTGGTGGTTTTTTTTTTGTTTTCCAAAATTTATATCAATAAATAAACACGCCTGGGAAAAAATTTTCTTTTTGTTTAAATATTTATAAAGAAAAAATATAAAATAACGTAAAAGTTGTTTAAAAAAAATTCATGTGATGGCGCTGCTGGTTTTAGACATGGCCTTAAATATATAGACACGGACAGAAAATAAAATAGTAAGAGTCGTATCGAAATTCGTTTTTTTTTTTAGAATCTCCTTGTATACCATAAGTGCAGATTGGGGGATTTCAGGAAGAAGTGTGAGAGAAACCGTTCAATTTTCTTCCATTTTTATTGTGGCTCGTGACACTCTTTTCTTTTCTGTTTTCACTCTCTTCTTTTTTTTTTACATTGACCCACACCCCCATTGGTTCGATTATAACTTCCTGTTTAATGCCTTTATTCCCCTTTTTTTCAACTATATAATAAAAGATCCTTTCGTCCTTCAGAAATTTAAACTTTTATACAGATAGATTCTAAAGAATAAATATTCGAATTCTGATCTTAAAAAGAATAATATCGTTTTGTTAAAAAAAAATATAAATTATAAAAAATTAAAAAAAAAATGTTTATTTGAAAAATTTGAAAAATTCCAAAAATTGTTGCGTATTTTAATCATTTGTTATTTGTACGAAGAAGAAGCTATTAGAATATGAAAGTTTAAAAAAAGTTTAAAACTTTTGTTTTCGCTTTTGGAATTTCAGTAATTTTGCATGAAATTTATACAGATTCCACACGATATATATATATATATATGAAACCTTCTCCCATATATATTTCCTGAATTCCTGAATCGACAGAATTACCGTCGTAATTGCTCTTTGAATTTTATTGACTATCGATTCAAACTAATACAACCTTAAAGTGGGATTTCGAGAAAACATTCTCTCTCCCACAATATGTCCTGTATAAATTTCCAAATTCTCCAGAGACAATTTAACAAATACCATAAAAGAAGCAACAATTTTTTGCAAAAAATTTTTTTTATTTAAAAAAAAATTTATTTTTTACATTTATTAAAAAATTATTATTAAACCATTGCTTTCGGGCCTGTGGTCCACAAAACCCTAACAAGTAAAATTTCGTTTTTTTATTCGATGTAAATAAAATTTTTATTTGAAATAAATAAAATTTATTTAAAATAAATATATATATTTAGCTAAATAAATATATATTTTCTTTCGAAGAATGAAATATTTTTTTTTTCTAAAAAGTTGAGTGGTTTAAGGAAAATTTGAAAAAAAGAAAAAATCCATGTAGAAATCAGTCAACCAAGGGGGAAATAAAAAGTCACGAACCGTTTCCGATAACTTTGGTTTCACACTCTTTCTCTCGGGATATAGAGGGAAGGAAAGCAGTGCTGATAAGTTTTGATTAATCGTTTCGCCTTACGCTTAACCGACAATCATCGATGAGTGCGAAAGATTGCGAAAAAGGATAATGAAAATAATAAAATCTTTCTACAATATTTTTTCTTCAAAAATTCGCAGAAATTTATCATTTAAGGGAACAATTTTTTTTTTCTTTCAATTAACACAAAAAATTGATCTTTACGAAATAATTAATTAGAATTTTCAATTTAAAGAATTATATAATTATTTTTTTCGACGTATTTTCAAATTGGCCTCACTGAAAAAATAATATTTATTCGATTCAAATAATCAATTATTTGATTATTATTAAATAAATATTTATACTTAAATGAAATAATTTTTATTTATTAAATTAATGAGATAAAAGAAATAAATAATAGAATTTATAGCAAAATTTTTTTTTCACCCACATAAAAATAGAAAAACTATAGAATGTGAATTGAAAATAGACGTGGGTGAGAAGAAAAGACGGGGGAAGGTGAAAAAAAAAAAAAAAAAATTTGATAAACGACTGGAAACGACGATAGATGATTATTTCACCTGAACACCATATAAGTCCAAATGCAGGATTCAATCGAGTGCACAAAAATTTAATTTTTCAACCATCACATCCGAACAATGACCATTGTACAATACATTTTCAAGCATCGTTTTTCAAATTATTTTCATAATATATCATAAAAAACTATATCTTTACCAAAAAAAAAAAAAAAAAAAAATTTCAACACGAAAATTAATTTGAAAAAATAAGAAATTAGATTAATTTCCTTTTTCTTTTAATCAAAATTAAAAAATTATTATTAATAATTTTATTTACATATTATTATTAAATAAAAAAAGAATATTTTTTTGGTAATTGAGTACCTAAAGAATGTTTTTCAATTATTTGTAAAGAATGTGTGAACACTTTTTATTATTTGTATTTGTTATTTTTATAAGAGAGAGAGAGAGAGAAAAAAAAATTTTCCTTTTTCTCTAAACGTGCTTTCATTGCAAGAAAAGAGCTTTACTTGACAATTCGCTTTTAACCGTGCAACACATAAAACAACACATGCGATATAGGAAATAAGGTGAAGAATAAAATTTTACGATTCACGCTTATCAAAAACAATGATCCCTCCCCTATCATTGATCGATATTTCCATGACTTTTATAGTGGACACATTATACGAACTTAATAATTTCGAATTTAATGAAAATAAAAATTTACCTCCGAGAAATATACTTAGTTGGAGCGCGCGCGCGATGATCTTTTAATTATAATCGATTTTATGAGGGAAATAATTCATAGCGAGGTTATAATCGTAAAAGGATCTTTATATAT